ACACTCCAGCCGGGCTAGACAGTTTAATGGTATTCTGCAGTATTGATTCATCCAGGAGGCTCATGCGCTGTCAAAATTTATGAATTAACTTAAGTGAACTAAAATCTTGGATTTACAAAGAAGGAATGTTGAAATGTCTGAAACGATAAATCTTTACATCAGCCGTATGTTTATTTTTTACTATGACTATCAGTAAATTTCCGATGAAGATTCACAAACAATACAGGATTACGAATTAAATAGAATAAAAAAGATAAAGGGAAAACAAATCATATTATTTGATCTTTTCCATTATTTAACTTCATATTTACCACTATGAATAATTTATTAACTCATTTGTTAGGCCTAGAGCCTTCGGCAAATGGTCAACCACGTGATATGTGGTCACCTTTCTTACTTTATATACTTGTAATAATAATAATTCTGATTTTTTGTTATTATATTTTTAATGTATTGGGTTGTCCGGAAAATAATGCAGGATTTTAAGTTTTCATTTAAAAAAATCTATATAAAATATTCTGTTTACGTTTACAGGATTACTCATTTGTATGAATGTCAACACTTATTAATCCTCTTCCAAATGATATNTTAATACCAAAATCCTGCATTATTTTCCGGACAACCCAATATTTAACTTAACAAAATGAGGAGAAAACAAATCCTGAATGACAGTGGGACAAAACTGAACGTTTCTATGTTTTAAAGGCCTTTTTTTATTCTGACAATGACTAGGACTCAATTTCTAATAATGTACTGGCAATCTAAGAGAAAAGGAAATCGAATAAAAAGGCAAATTTTCAAATTCAAATTGCAAAAAGGAAACAATAGGCGCGAACAATGTAAGCATGAGAGTATACACCTGCATTTACACCATTGTTATTTCCAGCTGTATAATTATGTAATGACGGGTCCCTGATATGCTGAGATGTTTATCTGTTAATTCTGAATAATCCCCTTGCTAGAGGACAATTGCAAACCCTGCTCGAACTGCTTAAGCCTCTTAAGCTTTGAATACAAAAGAGGCGTTGGGAGAGGAAACCCTTTGTAAAATACTCCTTTTCCACAGAACACAAATAAAAGTTTCGAGGATAAAAAAACGACCGACGTTTAATTTAGCACTTCGCGTTGCATAAGCGGATATAAAAATCCGACATTTCTCCAGGCAAGTAATGGAAGAAAGTGAGTTTTCAGGATTGTTAAAGGGATGGTTAGTTAGGTCGATAATCGAAAATCGACCAGATTCGCTTCGTACCCGTACATAAAACATCAGAACATTGAACATTTTCAATCAATTGCAGTAAAATAAGCTGAAATATATTGAAAGTTAATAAGCATAATACCATAACAGAACTAAAGTAAAGTTTATTCAAGCTGTGCATTGCCCTATGCTGCATTGCCTTTTAAGAGAAACGCTTACATGTTTATAAAACCCATTTGCTGATAACAAATTCAGGTTTAAGAATAGTTAAATTGTTGGCAAAAAATAAAATAGAAACGCGTACGGTGATTTTAAAGCAATTAGTCATATCTCATTCACTTCTAACAAGCCTTTGTGACGACAGATCTTTATGGAAAACATTGTATCTGCCTGATGTGGTCGCAAAAGTATAATTACAAATGAGATTTTAAGAAACATAGAACAACAGCACCATGACATTCGTGAAATAACCAGAGAATACTATTTTATTTTTGACAGGCAAATAAGAAAATGCATATCTATGTTAGAAAAACATATACACTTGAGATTTACTCCAATTTGTTTACAGGGAACACATAAATTTACAGAAGAATGAGAGAACGTTCATAACGGAAGCATTGTGTAAGGATACGGGTTGTACCAGATAAGCCGGATCTTATGCTTTCGTCGTCCAAAGAAAAATGACCGTTTTTATATGTTTAAAATAGTAAGTTATTTTTTCATAATATTCAGGAATTTTCCTTTTTTTCATCTTCAACGGTGGTAATAAGTTGAAAAGTGGTTCAGAGAAAGTTCTGAATTGTTTATCAATGTTACTAATGTAATAAGTATAAAATAATGACTGATATTGCCGAATTTGATGACTTTTTTCAGCCAATTCTTCACATCGAAGTACTAGTAAGTTTTGGTGAGTGAAAGGTTCTTCACATTTTCAGATTTTTTCGCATATTCAAACCAATTTGATTGGAGAATATCAATATCTGTTCAATAAATACCAATTTTTCGTAAAAACAATGGTTGCAAAGGAATCAGCCATATCCCATGTGCAAGGTAACAAACGGAATCTGCGAGTCTCCCCGACGGGCTTAATTCGCGAACCTGCCCCCTCTCAGCAACGATCATTTGCAGGAGGTTCCCGTACAGCAGACCTTTCTCTTCTCATTGTTTCAAATTGCGCCGTTCTCTCGGACGAAAAAGCATTCCCTTCCTACAAGCATTAATTACTATTTGTAAGAAAAGTCGAAAGTTTGGGGCTGAATCCAACGTTAACACAAAGGGCAAACTTCGGACAATATCCCCTGAATATACCAGGTTTTAAGAGAAAGGTTTAAATTTGAAAAGTACTGACAAGTTAACAAGCGTGAACTGGGCTAAAAACATTCAACGTCGTAGAAACAATTTGCGAAAAGTATACATTCAAGGTTCTTAAGAAATTCCGTACAAATTGAATACCAATTTCAATTTACCTGACTGATATTTTAAGGTTTCATCCAACATAATTAAAAAATTATATGCACTAAGCAAATAAGAAAAGCAAACTTGAGAAGAAAAAGTCAAAAGGGAAAGGAAGGAAATCAGTGGAGAATCCCTTAGATTGGACAATGTCTCTTTATTAGAGAATGTCACTCCTACACCCTACCAATCTGTTACTTCCCCTTACCAAACTTTCTTCCTACGAGATTGACTTATATTTACCTTGAGAACCCGGAATTATAAACCCGATCCATAGAAGAAGGTTCATATTACACATGGAATAAATGTAACGGACGAAAGAGAGAAAATGATAAATTTTCTTTTAGCCTTCTAAGATCTGGTAAGCCTTAAAGTAAAATTCTTTAAAGCCTCCAGACAGTAGAGACGTGGGGATCGATAGGCTCAAGAGTGCTGTAGGACCTGAAAACTCATGAGGAGTGAAGTGAACGTGATAAATCGAAAATGTTTATCTCCTTTATCTCGTGCCGGCCTAAGACAGGAAGAAAAGCTTTTACACATCACTTCACTCATAAATCGAACACCACTTTGTACGTATTACTAAATCCACAAGTTTCTTATTGTTTTATGCAACGTGCATGTCATAGACGAAGATGATATATTCTAACAATCCTACACACCTGGCACATATTTTCAAAGAATAGACACTGTTACTGCATTGTCCAGTTGCATACAAAAAAGACACTGAAAACGTATTCAAAAATTGAAAAATGATGAAAATTTAACGAAGTAACTCACCCATGATGTCACTCATGCAAATTACTCCTTCACTCGCCATGCATTGTGCATTTTGACAAATAATGACTGAAAACCCTTTAAAAATAGAAAACCTATTCTCTCTGCCCCCCTCAAGAAACTAGAGAAGAATGAGCAGAACATCAAACAAAATTTCATCCTATGAATGGTTCAGTTCACCAAAAGTTCAATACGATTGTCTATGATTTGTATAAATAAATTGCATATAATCATATAATACTTGCATTACGTATTTAATAAAACAAAAATGTGCAAATATTTTCAATGTTTGTAAAAAGAATTGGCAGAGTGAAATTACACAGTACAGTCACAGTTTTTAAATAATTTGTATAATTATTTGCTTGCAACATAATTTGTTTTAAAGATTGCAGTTTCCATTTTGTAGAGAAGCTATGAGAAATTTCTACCGTTCACAATGTTAAATTTAAATAATAAGCACAGAAATAAAATAAGGTGGTTATTTCCTGGCGATATAATTTTTTCCTAGTTTAGAAAAGAGGCAATAAAAGGGGAAAACTGCGAGTGGTCAAGTGGAAAAATGAGGACTTTAAACTCGGAATGCAATCAGGATTAGAATTCTGAGGGCAGTTGGTTGATTATCTGGGTCTAGGATAATGACTTTTTCCCCCGACCGTGGATTCAGAAGCTACGTCAAATGGAAATAATAAGTTTTCCCAGGGGGTTTATAAACGCCACCTAGATCCTTTGTCTGAACCTTAACGTAGACTAGTTTTTTTACTCAATCGAAAATAATTTTCCTAGTGACTATGGTAACACGAAACTATAGGGACACGGATGATCAATTGCCTAACCGCAGATGATTTCTCTTCCAGACAACCTCAAAACAGTTTTTCTTACACTGGGAATCCCAACCGGTGAGTTCAAATTACGGAAATACAAAAACTGAAATATTGGAATTTCTATTCAACAAAAAGTATAGAGAAATGAATTCTGGAATGGTTTGTTTCCCATTTCAAATAAGGTAAATCAGATTTATAAAATCCATCAAAGCAGGACAAATAATGAACCTCAATAGTACACATCATACAATCAATATTAAAAATAAAGAAGAACAAAATTAAAATTTGTAGTTTGGTCGTGTCTATTTTAGACCAAGTAGCGAGGATAGGCAGACCGAAACGATAGGAAACTACAAACCAACAGGTTAATCACCCTGCAGACCTCGAAGGGAAAATCTCATAAAATAAAATTTATCTGTGAGGAAATAATCATCGGCCACATTTTATCATTTTACTGTTATTTAAAGTTATAATTTATAGTTTAAAGTGTTCATTTTTGTGCAATGAATTTTAAACATTTTCATAATGGCGGTAATAAATTTTGCATCTTGATATATTGTATGAAGAATATTTATTAATTATTATAAATTATTGTTTTATATATACAATATATACATTTTTTGTTAAATATTTACTTAAATTCACTAATTTCGTGGTCCGCTTGACCAATTAATATATTACAATTAATTTTATCTCAACTAAAAACCTTAATTAATTGTATTAAATATTTACTTTGACCTAGAAATCGAATTTAAACGTTCGAAAAAATAGGATGACAAGGCCATTTCGCAACTTGTTTTGGGGGACAAAATTTAAAGAGATTATTCCTTTCTTGTCAACAAGACAATTCATTAAAATAGGCAACAAGTGGGTAGCTAAACAACCTTTGTTCCAACGTCCCTGTTCGGCCTACCTTTGTATACGCCTCCATAAAGAGTGACCTACATAACTAATTGGATTTTGGTAATAAATTTCACCCAGGTAGTTAAATAAAACAGAAGATTAGGGCGGCAGTACAATCCGTACAATCGGAAGGATAGGACTCAGGGAGTCAAATTTGTGTCAAATGCAATAAACTATTGAGGAAGTAATCTATAACTCACTTCCTCTAGCCTTAACAACGTGAATTGGCTGACGCTGTTCTGAAAATGAATGTTATGTAGTGACATTTTAAACGCACAACGGAAGCAAAGTGCATTCAGAGCAATGATTTGAACAAGGTACCTACAGATTCCTTTATCTATATGAATAATTGTATGCAAATATGAAGAATTGTAGGGCTATGTGCCAACATATTTCTTGTTCACCCACACACTATAACTTGTTATTTTACTATAATTTTACTGTACTTTCTTCGAATTAATCCAAATGAAATCATTTCTAATTCCTTGTAGCCAATTAACCGCCGAACTGTTTTACAATTTTTCCTCTCCTGTCATAACTTCAATGATAATAGCTCGCCGTTATCGGCGCTGACTTTAAAGCAAATGACCCTTTTGTTGATATTTAATATAGATAATGTAAAAACAGTCAACGACAAAGTACATGGTTGAACGATAGTTTATTTCCATAACAAATGTTAAATGGATTTACAATTTAAAACTATATTGAACATGCTTTTTTTTTAATTATATTTGAATATGTCAGGATGATTATTTGTTTTATATATTTTTTAATATTTGTTTTATTTTTACTACGTTTTACTACTACTAGGCCAATTTTAGAAGGTAGATAATAGACAGATGATACGTTGAGTTTTTTGTTTTGCTTTATGCAGAGGCACATCTGCCATGCCAAAGTTGTTTATGTCATGTTTATGTTTTATTTCTGGAACTAAACAAGACGTCGAAACGTCGTAACACAAAATGTTAATCTATTTCCAAACTTCTAAAATTTGCCTAGTAAAAATAAAGCAAATAAAAAATATGAAAAACAAATAATTATCGAGACTTTTATTCAAATAACATTTTTTATCATTTATTCTTGGCATGTTCAATTTATTTTTATTACTCATGTCTTTGGTAAGGAGGGACTATTAGCTGAAATTCAAGTTATTTGTATTATCTGTAATCTATCACTTATCTTCTAAAATTGGCCTTGTAAAAACAAAACCAATAATCCATAAGGGCAACAAAAAGAAATTTTTTTTTTTATTGTGCTACACTTTTGTTTTTTCAATATGTGTTATATTTTGTAGTGATTTTCGAAATGATTATACTAGATTATTTTTAGATTCTTTATAATACTCCTTAGTCAAATTTGAACCTTGAAAGAAAATGCAGTCGGAAATGTAAAATAAAAAAACGTTTTCGGTGAGTAACAACTGGGAACAAGAGAATTCAATCTATTATGCAAATCTATCTTCAAGAAAGTGCATAAATTGGTTTTTTCTTAAAAACAATAAATAAATTTTACAAGAGAGGGGAATGAAGTAAAAACAGTCGGTTGTTATAGCATTTGTTGAAAATAGTTGTCATTTATATGGAAAGATTAAGAAAAAGTACCATCAGAGCTAATGGCTACTATATTTCTTCCCCTATACTCTGACCTACAAAAATCTAGATGAGTTAAATTCAAAAATTCAAAATAAGTGGCTTAATGAGAACGAACTCCTGGTTTTTCAACTAATCCGTGCAAAGCTGAAGGTTAATAATCCTTTTCTACTTGAATTTTTGCTGTTGGAGAAAAATAAGAGAGAGAAATCCTTTCGCGACGTCTTGGGATTTTCTGCTTGTAAAGCGTGAAGTCACAGAACATCTTGCAAAAGACGGCATTAATATTTCATTGAAGAAGATACCCTCAAAGGTCTTACAAACCTTTGAGTTAAATTAGAAATAAACTTCATTCCGATCACGTTCCGGGTGGTACGATTTGGCCCGGGTGCAGGACGCGTCAAGTCCCGATCCACGAAGTACATGCTAATGAGCAATATTTACACGTTTAAACATAAGAATAAATTATGTAACTATTTAATTAGTTTCTGCTAATTTCCAGCAGCGCTGCTAAAGTTTTATAGACTTTTTAATTTGATTTAAATCCTAATCCTTAAGGTTGGACAAGTTCAACATGTTTTATTTTTTTATATGATTTATTTTGTTATAACTAAATTTTATTGTTGTGAGCTCAGCACGGTCAGTCACATACATATTATTACGTAATGAAATGTGTATATTTTTACATCCAAGTTTCACTTCCATTTATGGCATTTTGATTTTATAAATTAAAATATTGCTCAATCATTGCATTTGCATTTTATATAACTATACATAAATTGTATCTAAATTGCTCCTCTACTTCCACAACTACAAACGATAAACATCAAGCGACAGCCGATAATAAAATATTTTAAAATAAAAAGAACTATTGCATCGAATATTAATTGAATACAAATTTAATTAGGTTCCTTTAAAAAAACAACATCTCAAAGGTGTGTTTAAAATATATTGTTTTCAGGGGGTGAGCCACACAACATACAAATAGATAAAGGCAAAAACTTACTCAGAAACCAGAAGCCAATTTGAAAATGTGCGAACGGGAGAGAAGCTGAAATGTGAAAGGATGAAACCTGCAAAAAGCTACACAAACTAGGAGTCTTAGGTAGTGGAATTTCATCAAAGGACGAAACAAGGTAGGATCAAAGATCGAAGTGCAAACCAGTTTATACACCTAGGTTTCTGTAATTGTTGACGATGTCTGATTGAAATTTGTATAATAACTTAAATAACTTTTTTTTATGATAGGGTAAAATAGTAATATAGAATTCTATAGAAATATTCTACATTCTGTAGAGAAACAATTGTTTTTTTTTATTTTATCCACCATAATTTAGAGCTTGGACTAATTTACTGTCACTCAACACATAAAAGTTTTAGTTAAAAGACAATCTTGGATATTTAAATGGCACCAAGTCGAATGTGTGATGTATTTTTACCAAGTTTATTAACTTTTTAAAAACTAACATTACACTTTATTGTGGTTAGACGGTAGAACAGGTGGCGTAACAATAGAGGTGTGACAATATGGGAAGCCTTAACGAAAGAGGAAGGCGACAGGACAACTTCCTCCCTTTCTAAGTTTTCCCCACAGAATAGAACCAAAACTTGCTCAATTTGAACTTAGCACAGCCGGAATCGTGTAGAGAAGGCTAGATAAAACGGTAGACAAAAAGAATCGCCAAGGCCGGATCGACTCATGCGAAAAATAAGAAAATTGTGCAGTTGCAAAATAATTAAAATCATCTTGACATACATTACAAACTAGTAAACACTAGATATTTCCAGCGTTGTTGACGTTGTGCGTATTTTTACGTTTTAATCACAATTTTTTCTTGTGTTTATGCGACAGACCGAGGAGATATTTATCTTGAATAGAAAGTGTGGGTAAAATATTATTTTCCCAGATGCAGAGTTCTGACAAATGGCTTGATTTTCGAGAAATTGTGCTTAATTTTCATATCGTGTCCTGAAATTTCACAAACTATTGAATAATTCACAACAATTCTATGTTTAGTGGATTTTCACTTTTGTCACTAGAAATAAGCGACAAATTAATTACAAAATTTAGCTGAATGTAAAAAAATTGAATCCATGCGGAAAACGTATAATTATGTACAAAACTGCATAAGCAACTATTCTTGTCTACATGCGCCTATTTTATTTGTGGTTTAAAAATTTGTCTTTAACCTAACCAACAAGTAAAAGATTTGTTGTTTTTTTGCCTTCAAGTTATAAAGTGCACTGCTACGTTTCGCTAAATTTTAATTTATTATTCTATATTTTCACAACAATTTTAGCTAATTTTACTCAAATTATTTTTTTTGTGTGTTTTGTGAAATTTCTTCTTGGGAGGTCTGCGAACTGATGAACCTTTAGTTTCCGATCATTTTGTTTTGAATGATTAGACTGATTGAAGAACAACCTCGTTTTGATGGATCAAGCAAAGCAAACTGGAGCAAAAATTTGAAACTGAAAATCGCAATTAGTCACAACGCGTCTGCCAGACCAAAATGACCAGAAACGACCAAACTTTTTTTGCACTAAATATTAGTGGAAAATGTTAAATTTCACTTCCAATCGTCAAGCAATGTGAAATCAAACGCTATTTTTTCTAAATGTAGCAATGTTTAATTCACAAGAACATTTAGTAATGAAACCAATCTTAAAATTGAATAATCAAATTACTTCATGTCTACCGACTACCGAACAGGAGAATAAAACGAACTTTCAAGGTTTTATTTTGAATTGGTGTTCTTTCTTGTCGACTTCGAAAAGGGGTTTCTTTATATGGATAGTAAATCTCCAAATCGACTTTCCCCGAAAAATCTTGTACCTTGTTGTTTCTAAATGAAGACAAATTGCTTTTAAACATCGGTAGTCCGGGTATAAGTAAACAACTTTTTTTTTACTGTTTCCCGATTTTCAATGTAATAAAATGAGTTGTTAAAAATCCCTCACTACTTGAATTTTAAAAATATCAGAATAGAAATAGTAGTCTATTTACAAGATTGTTTTTTAATTAGAAAAACGTCAGAATAGAAACAGTATATTTTCACGATTGTTTCAGTCTGTTGAGAGCCTCAGTTTGCTTTGATGCAATTTCACGAGCAATTAGTCGCAAGCGATTAAATCAGCAAGGTCGATTAGATGCCGCAGAAGGGGGCCCTGTCAGAGATTATTGCTTGACACATTAGGGGATGTATCCTTGTTTGCAATAACAAACCGCGTTTACGCCTGAGCAAAGGTAAATTTATGTAAAAATAGCTGCCCAAACGTGATACCTGTTTATCCTAAACGGTCCTATTACTTTTTATTGGCACCTCTAAGGCGGCCGTATACCTGTTCAGCAATGCCAAATTTATCTAAACTTCCAGGTTTTATTTACCGGTGTAAAATTCAGGATGGGGACGTCGAACCCGGTCGTATCATCCGTGTCTGATACCCGTGGACTGAGACACACAGTACCGAAGATACATAACGGACCAAACTGCACTTGAATTCCCCTCGTCTTTATTTCCTCGAACAAAAAGATTTAGATTTAGGAAGAAAAAAAATAAAACTTCAATTAAAAGATGCTTCAAGGTATCATTTCGTACGAAAAACCTGTTTTTAAAAAGGGCAAGAAAAAAGACCAATAAAGACATATAAACTTATATAACGTTTTCATGCAAACTTCGACCATAACATAATTTGTTCGCCATTGACTTATCCATATAGTAAACAATAGAGTTGATTCTATTTTATATTTTTAGAAAATTAAAAACTTTGAGTTTGATCATTGCCATTAATCATGTTCATATATGACTTCAAAGTTAGACGAAGCGGTATGACTTTCGTTTGACTGAAATGCGTTATTTTTCTGCCTATCTTGCTGTTTTGGTCTGACGAATATTTTTTCGCTTATTTCTATCTTTGGTGGTGGATCTTGAAAGGTCATTTATTCAAGAGCAACTAAAAACAAAATCCCTGAAGATAGCGAGGTACGCAGATAGGCAGATAAAAATAATCGGAACCAAGCAAACTAGTCTCACACCCCGCCGTAAACCCCAAAAGGAAATTTAACGAATTAAAAACATCATGTTCAATTGGAATTACACGATTTATGGGCTGCACAATTTACATAAAGTTCTTGCCATTAGATTTTCTCAAGGTTATACATTTTTTCTTCAGATTCTTCGACTGTTCCTTTACAAATTAATAATGTATTTTCTTTATCATATATGTATGTACACGTATGCATTTTACTGATCATACATTTAAATTTTTACAACAAAGCACTTGTGGAGCTTCAGAAGGAGACAAGACGCCCAAGGTAGTCATAAATTGCAAGTTCAGTACCGCTATGTAAAAGTCGAACGGTACTCATAAACTTGTGAATGGAATGGGCCCTGAACTTGACTTGTATATTGAACTAAAGGAAAAGTATGCTTTTCTACATTTTCTGCCCCAAAAATGTCTATTCCTTGTACACCAAACAACGCAAATTTCACTATATTTGTTTTTAATTTGTACAGGCGTTTTGAATCGGCGTGATTGACGGTTTTTAATGATAACGTCAACAATGACATTTCAATTAAAAGCAATTGCACGCCTCAAAGGAGGATCCTGCGGCGTGTGTCGGGCCCAGTGCCATTAAAATGGGACTAGTATAATAAAGTCACCCCCAATGTTTGTCGAAGGGCGAATGTCGAAGGGAGTGGGAACAATATTTGTTTTCCCCTTGCACTATCCGAAGAAGCTCCACCCCAACGACGAGGCAGTTTTATAAAAGTCCTTTTATCTCGGACAACATTTAGAAGATATATTTTCATTGAGGATGGGGACCCATTTTCAACGTTTAATTTATGCTCTCCGACCGATTAAGCATATTTGTTGTTATGACTTAATTCCCCTGTTCACAAATGAATGAAGAGAATTAATAAATCATAAAAAAATCTATGCACCACAGGATTTTTTTTCAACTTAAGAGAAATCTAAATGTGATTTGTAAAGGCTTAATGATGTAAAATATGTATGGCACTGTGCACTATTTCAGAACAATACAAACTGATAATACTATGATTGTTAATAGTTCCACCTAGGATTAAAGTCAAATAAACCCCAAAATTTTTTAATTAAATTAACTTTTCAATTGTCCATCATTTTTTTATTAAATGCAGCAAATAACATCCGTACAAGGAAGTATAGATATACACAAAATAACTTTTATCTAGAACAAAATGTATATAATTTCTAAAAAAAAGTACACCGTTATATTGATTATGCTGTTTTCTAAAGGTTTAAGAAATGAATGATGAACCGATCATGAAAAATATAGCAATGACAGTATGCTTTTGAATAATTTAAATTTACTCATTTGACCTGAATATTTAATTTAATTTTTGTAATAATTTTTGCAAAATATTATAAAGAATTAAAGAACTGTGTTAACCGAAAAGAACATATTACCTTTTCAGATACTGTAGAGGTCTTAACATGGCTTACAGTAACAAATTTACAGTTGGGAAACTTCTTATTATCTTCATATACATACCTACTCCCACTGGTTTGGGCCATTGTACATGGCAAATCTGCCAAAACTTGACTACCAGATCAGGACAGCAAATTCATCAAGAACAGTCAACAACAAATCTCGAATATAAATGCTAAGTTAGAGCCTCCTTACGACCAAAGAAATTTAAAAAATGAACATTTTCAGTAGTTAACATATAGGGATTAATTGTTAATCTTTAAAGTTTGATTTTCATTTTGTTAGTCATTATTATTTATTTTCTCAATAGTAGAGGATCTTTTAAAATTCTTGTAATAAATCCAATAATTATTCTTTTCATCTAAGGTTTTTGGTTGAGATGAAAAATTAAGCTTAGGTGAACCAAAAACCTGATGAAAGAATAATTAATACGGTCAATTATGGCCACTAAACAAATATGGATTAACTTTTAATCATTTTAATACTTACTACATCATGTCAGTTCAAAATATCTATTACTATAATCATCACTAATTATTATAATTAGTATAAAGTTATGTGGGACCAAATAGTCAGTTGGGCTAATCTAACAACAACACTAATTACTTCCTAAGATTTTATTTTATTGCAAGTTTGGATAAATAAGCACATGATGTAGTTATCACAATAACAATGTTTTGCATCATTTTATCTATTTTTCTCAATCGCTAGGTTTGATAACTGAATCCAAGTAAGCGATTTGCATTTAGTTTTTAAAAAGCCAATGCATCCTGTTTGTTGAGAAACAATGCTCAATTTGTGAAAATTCACAGGCCAGAAAAAGAAGTTAGGGAGTGGGAAGGTTAAAAAGAAAACTCTGGTAACTATTATTATTGTTGTGGTTGTTATACAGTAGTTTCAAAAGATGAATGGTGCTGCAAATAATGCCTAAAGTGCACTGTGACCCTAATTGGACTTTTCTTATTATATATAAAGTTTCCAGATGGTCTTTCTAATTTTCTAATTAGTACAATTGTGAACTCCTTGAGTTTTAACTCAATCAGCAAAAATGTAAGCAATATCAGGCATTTTTACTTTTTACAAACATATTTGTAGAAAGTTAGACTAGTAAATTTTTAAAAAATTTATTATTTTGCTTTATTTTTAAATTGGACAAATGGTCATTTTAACATTGGGCATTGGAAAACAAAAATTATTTTTCTTAAGGTATATCTCCAATGTGTTGGAGTTGCCAACTTGACAAGAAAGACGGAAGTCATCCAGTGGGGTTACATGCCTAGAACGAGGGCTGTGGCAAAGGCTGTCGAAACTTGGCAGTGGATTGGTAGGGGCGGACAGTATCAAGCAAGGAGAGACAAGCAAGGTGAGCGAGAGGAGAGAGACAATAGAGGAGGCCAAATAGAAAAAAGAGGAAAGAATAGATTTTTTTAAATTAATTTATTTATATTTGCTGTATGGAAAACTGTTGTTCCCCATCTCGGAACAATGATCCACATCTGGGTAGGAGTTTATTTTATTTATTGTAATTCTGACTCCTGCCGAATGTGTAATTCATAGTGGGGAACTGTCTTCGATTTTGAGCTGTTTTTTTTTTTTTTTTTTTTTTTTTTTTTTTTTTTTTTTTTTTAAATTGTATTTTTGATTCATCTCTGCTTCTACCAAGGGGTTTTTCCCTGATAAAATAATGTGGCACCCAAATAACATGTTGGTTCTGGGAATACACCTTCATCAATGAGCATCAGTGCATAATACTTTCTTGTCAGAAAGGTAACAAGATTTAAACTAAATTCATTTTAACACAACTCGGTATAAAAAAATTTAAAAAACGACTTACCTGTTTTTTCAGCAATGTACTGGTAGACTTCATTCATAATTACATCTGGATTAATGAAATCCCATAGCCCATCAGAAGCTATGACCAGAAATTCTTCATCACCCACTAAATTGATTGTTTTAATATCTGGTTCCGAAGTGACATACGGTTTGTACTTTTTGTCCCCTGAAATGTTTAAGTTGTTATTTAAGTAATCACTCAATAAAAACCCAAAATAAGTCGGTTTACCAATTGCTCTGGACACAGCGAGGAACCCGTTCACTCGGTACATCCCGAGCCATAGGACATCACCACCCATGCTTTCAATTCTTTCCCTTTCATCCTAAAATATATTTATTATTATTGAATGATTTTTCCCTCTTGTTGCTAAGTTTGTTTTGTCATACATACTTTTCTACTTGGTCTGTGAGGGTTAACTAGGCATTTCAACTTGCCACCTCGTGAAACAAGTATTGCTTGAGAATCACCAAGCCAGGCAGTGTATAATTTCTTTTCGTAAGGCCTCAGAAGAACACATACAGCAGTTGTCCCACTTTCTAAGTGATCCTAAACAAACAAAACAATAATAATAAATAACAATGTTGACCAATTAACAATTAATAGCATAAAGTAGTGGTTATTATACTTCAACAATTTACATGACTTCATTTCTGTACAAACATACCAATTTCTATATTTATTTAACCAAATTATGCTTTTACACTATCTCAGGATATTGTACAAGTATGGCAAGTATGAATGTATAAAAATATAAAAATAAATAAAAATGCCATTATTGGAAATATTTATTACAATCTGAATAATTACTGATTAATTAATATTAAGTCATTTATTGTTGGTGAATAAAATATTATTACATTTAGTACCATATTCTTTTTAGATTTATCAATAAATCTTTCATCAGTCTGTTGAAATGCTTGTGATAAGGCCTTTTCGGGGTAATGTGGATAATTTTCATTCTCGACAAGGAACTGGTGCAAATGAGCACAACTGTATGTTGCTGCATCTGTTCCATTATGGCCATCGAACACAGCATAATAACTGGCAGAGCCACAGTCCTGAAAATTACAAGATTAGATACTTCACCTTAACCCAAATCAAAGACGTATTTGGTTAGACATACTTTTAAGTTGAATAGTGCATGGAGGTCCTGAATAAGGACATGCCTATCTTCCATTTTCCTCCTTCCATTTTTTATAGCACAAACTGATAAAATTGGGTCGTATAGTCTATCTAAGGGAGGTGGCGGAAGCATGGAGAGCATGGCATTGTCACTGTAGCCTTTGCACAACTCAACCAATTTTTTTATTGTCACTTGCACCAATTTGAGTGAATTATAATCTAAAACATTCATTAAAATTATTAGTAATGAAGTTGTTGGCACCACAAATTAGATTAATATTAAATTGTTAATTTTGATATAATGATAACATATACCATAATAAAAGGTGGTGGAGGTTTTTGGTCTGTGAGTCGGTTCAACATGTACCATATATACAATATTCTATTATCACTAGTAAAAGCAATAGTAAAAGTAAAAAAGGAATGTACAAAATTCCTATAATTATTTAAGTAATATTAAGTAGTTGATGCGCTTTAAAAATGTATTTCAATTGTTTACTAGTGGGGCTAATTAAATAAATGGAGACCCCATAAATATTTGACCTACAAGAACTGCAATAATATTAAGATAAGCAAGAAATGATGATATGATCAACTTAAAAAAATTCTTGCAATTAATTTTTTAAATTTATTAATTAAATGATTCCCAAATTATGATCATAAGTGGTAATCATTAATGCAATAGATATTAGATCTACAATATTAATAATACCATTGAGTTGAGAGAGGTTTGATTTTTCTAAAGCTTTGTTAATAAATGATACAGATAACAATATAAAACAATATAAATATATACATTTGGCCTGAAAAAGTTGAAACAAAAAAATTGAAAAAAAATATTAATTACATTTTGTTGAATTAATTGCAGTTTGTAATGAATATTAATAGAATCTAAGTTAATTAAATCATAGAATTAATTTTAAAACCAACCTTTATACCTTTATATTTTCTTTAAATATTTGTTATCACTGTATTTTCAATAATAAGCGTTATCGAGTACTATTTCAGGTTCTTTTAAAATATCACAACAAAACTAACACAATTTTTGGTTTTCTTGTCAGAACTTTATTTTTGTGTTTATTTAGGTAGCCAATTGACAAACCTGTAGCTTGATTGCCTCAATTGAGCAACATTTTTTTCCCATGACATAACACAAATACGCAGATACTTCTCATGTATATTTTTAACTGAATTCTGATAACAAGATAAGCCAACAATGAAATATGAGCAACCTTTTCCTCTTATTTCTGTGTACTAAGCGAGTCATTATCTATAATACAACATATTTTATATATAAACATATATTTATACACATGTATGTATAAATAATAAAAATGATTCATTATCAATCGTGTTAATTTATTCATTGTTGTAAAGTATTTAGAAGAATTGATTATTTTATGTGCAATAATCTTTTATTTCTGCTTAATATCTTTATTGGTGGAAGTAAACCAAACAAACAATAATGAACATTGTTTATGCAATTTGATAAACTGTATTCAATAAAAACAATGTTCGACATACTTCCGTTCAGAATCTTAGAATAATTTGTTGAATCATCAATTACAATTGTTAATATGTTATATTAACTACTATTTCACTAACCTATTACTTAAAATCTTTATTATAATTTTCTTAGAATTTCCAAGCCAAAATATAATGTTTGAACAAATGCCAAATTGTACTGCTATTTTCTAAAGTTCATGGGAAAGAGAGAGTTTACCAAGGGTCAATAATCATTCTAGAGGTATTTCCAGGTGGTGACTAATATATCAGAGCGAGTCAGGCAATGGAGGCTAAGGGTTGCAATTTGTGAAATTCAGCTTACCATCTTCTTGAGACTTGTAGCCGCACAGGTCTGGACTTTTGTTGCATAGCTCAATTACCTCCAGATAGGCCTTGTGGCAAAGAAGTGCTGCTAAATTGGTCGGGCAATCTCTATATAAAAAAATTATTAATAAATAAAATAAAATAAATAAAAAAGATGAGGAGAATGTGTTGACTGATTTTGCCCTACCATCCATTCTAAACCAAATTAAATGTTAACAGAAAATATATCTGCACCCTCGGGGTAAAACTGAATAAGTGAAAAACCTAGCATTGAAATTAGTTACCTGATGAACTAGTGAAATTATAATTAACTCAATGGGACTGAATTCTAAAACAGCATACTTTCAAGTGGGCTTTTTCTATGGAAAGACTCCAGAGCCCCTGGGGTGTATATTTGCAGCATCAGGGCAAAACTGGTTATGTCCAAAACCACAACTTCTCAGGATTGCAAGTTTAAATTTAGACTTTTGGTACAAATTCAATTTTTGTAGTAACTTTTTTTTATTAATATCACATTTCATCAAATTTAATGTAGTTGTCTTAGTAAATAGGTCTTTCAATCTAATTAATTATGTTATTTTGGTACTATCAAATTATGCATTAACACTAATTTAGTTTTAAACCAAAGTTTGTGCACTTGCCAATTATCGTACCACCACTTAGCAGTTATTCATGAACACTTTCAATTTGCTAGGAGGGTAAATTAGGATAAACCAAGCATCAAAAACCACTAAATTGTACAGTTGAGATAACATTAATTCACTTGTTACCAATTAAACAAATGCTTATATAAGTAAAAAAAAAAAAAATATCTTTATAAAAACAAACCTTTGTCTCACCTAGACATTCATTAAGACAAATACACTTAATCTATTTCACTACAAGTTTATAAATAGGCAAGTGGAATTATCGAAATTTCTTCTCTACTTAGACAATTATACAGTCTGACTGACCTAAATAAAATAATTAAAAAATAGGAGAACCTCATGGCATAATCCAAGAGTACTCAACACCAATGCTAATGACAATTTTATTTAATTAGTAATATACATTTGGAAAACTTTATTATAAACTTTTATTTTTTGTCTAGTTTCTCAAAGCCAAAACATCTCTCTCCTCCAGGACGTGGGATACAGGAGGCTTAACTATTTCAAATGGCAAAATATTCATCAGTGTACATTCTTTAGATACATCAACTTTTCAAGATGTCTAAAAAGGGACATTGTTTTTAAAAGGAAATGGTTTCATTCTCCATAAACAATTATGCACAGCCTGTCTGTCTGAACCCATTACTAGGTAATCTATTGGGTCCATCTTCACTCGCGGGTTTGTTGTATTACTCAAATGCATTTTAGCATTGGACCATCTTCAGTGAGAAACTCCTCAATGCTGAAGATGGCGCAATGCCAAAACGTAAACCCGCGAAGAAGACGGACCCAATAAGTGACTCAAGGCCTGTTCAGTGTGTCCAACTCAAAGCATCAACTGCCAAGTGTAAATAATGAAATATATCTCATTTTGCCCAAATTTGTCTAATCCAGTTTTGACCAGAGGGTGCAGATATTTATGTAATTGAGTTCTTACATGTTTTGCTGTGTGATTCATTAAAAAAAAGTAAGACAAAAGATACAAAATGACCAATCAAATCAATATATTTAACTAATATACTAAAATTGTTGAAATTTGTAACAGTACAACATTGACCGCAATGCAAGTTGAGCACTGGTTTACTATAATTATTATGGATGAAAAACATCTATCTTTAAATTGATTTGATGAGTGTTTATTTATTATTTTTATTTTTTTAAGGTTTGTATTTGTTCAATGTTTTCATTTTTTTAAGTATATTCTGATAATTCAAGCAATAACTCGAATGGGCAATATTATCCCAGTTACATTATTTGGTGTAACTGATTCATTTACTATTTAGAGTAATTTATCTTGGAAAGGTCGTAAAATAAATAAAAATGTAATTTTATTGATAATAAAGTCGACTGAAATCATTTTAAATAAAAATCAAATTTTACCGCGTAATTACAAAACGTACATATTTTAAACTATAAACACCAGTTAGGAATACCTTAAGTTATTCTTTGTATATATTTTTATTTATTTAAAATTGCTGTTATTTATATTGAATCAAAGTGGTTGTAATCAGGAAAGTTCTTATTTAGTTCATAAAAATACAGAAATAGTCATTAGTCACGGGATGCAGTTCGTACCAGCACGATTGGTGGTAAAATACAAATTATTTTTCGCAGACTTGGAAACATTCCAAATCTTGAAAAAATTGAACCACACCGTTTTCAATTTGAATTATTTAAATAAACGTTTAAAATTCACGAATTGACACTGATATGTTGCTAAAGATCTGAGAAATGACAAGACAAGAGAAAAGAATGTGTATGTAAACAAAAAAAAATCTCACCTATCACTTAAATAACGAAGGCACCAGTGGAGAATCTCTCCTGAAATTTCTGATTGAGTCAGGGAATACTTGGGTATGTTGTTTACTAAAAGGGGATTGCTTAGATCACAATTTTTAACTAAAGCTTCGAAGAATTCCCTGTATTTAGTTAGGTAGTCTTGACTCGTATCTTCCATTTTCGTAGCTCAGTTTAATTAATTTCAATTGACCGAGGAGTTTGGTTTGGCCGGGAGATGCGCAGGCGAAAATTGTTTCTTTAAGATCGAAGTCTGAGAGCCGACATTTAGAATTTAAGTAGAAAAATAGACAGTGGGAGGACCGGAGATTGATTCACGTCGAACGAACCGAGCCCATCTCAAACTAGGAATGAAAACTACAACTCTATTCGACGGGCCTTGCCGTCCCTCGACTCCGGCCACTATCGATACTGGCAGGCAATCGATTCAAATCTATTTCAATTTGCGGAAGGGCGTGCAAAATTTTTCGACTTTTGACGTCAGTAAATAACAATTGAAGTTGGTAAATTGGATAATCTATGAAATAAGTTTTTTTTTTTTTAACTTACCTTAAATTAAAAAAGGGACTTTTTAAATTTTGACAGGACTACGGAAAAATAAGATTTAAAAAAATCATTTGGATTTGTTCTCAAACATTGTTTCTTAGATTTTCCAAAGTCCCTTGTTCATGAAAAATGATTTGATTCCAAACCTAACACAAAAAATAGTATTATATCAAGCTGAACCGCCATAGGGTCACTTATTGGGTCCGTCTTCACTCACGGGTTTGAGTAATTCAACAAAACCGTGGGAGAAGGCGGAACCAATAAGTGATCCTACGCCGGTTCAGCATGAGTTAACCGACTCGCAGTCTAACACCCATCCTTAACTCTTCCTTTCAATATATAAAAACTGATATTACGAAAAGCATTTAATTCTCCGTAATATCCAAAGTGTATGAAAGACTTCCTCTGCCCCAGTTGAAAGCCTATCTGGGTCCAGGAAACTTCGAAAAAAAAAATGTAACTCAAGTTTACAATTACTAGTATTAAAATTAGTACTTAGTAATTCCTGTCATACAGGAAGGCTTAACGTTTAACTACTCGGTAGATGTTGTGGACGAGGGGTCTAACCACTTTACAATACTTTCTTCATATTATTCACAAAACCCATGGGCTCTGCCGGATTCGAACTCAGAAACGATAGGCAGACTACAGTTATTGATATTAAGTTAAGCAACCCATTTTTTTAAAATTATAATCTGCACTTTGATTACAACATGTAATTTGAGGATTTACTTTGAGTAAATAGTAGTACCACTTCACTTCACTAATTAAATCTCTTAATTATTCTTTTTCACGAGCAGGAACCCACGACTTCTGAAGTCACGATAGCTCAAGTGGTTAGAGCAAGAGACTGGAGACGGGGATTATAGGGACAAGGCTTGGGCAAGACTCTTGGGGTAATGGGTGAGTTTATTATAGAACGTGGGAAATTTTTAGGCATTAATTTTTGTACAAATAGAATTTTAAAGTCGTTTGGGAAGGATTTGAAACAAAATACGGACCATTTATAATTGATCTGAGGACTTCAGATTGAAAGGGTTGGAGTCGGTAGATATTGAAAGGTGTGGCGGTTCCCCACAATTCTATTCCGTACGTCCAAACCGGTTGTTGTTTTGTAAAGTGTATTTGCTTTTCGTCAGAGGGCAATACAGCTGCTCGGCAAAAGATGCAAGGAAGGTGCTAGGTGTAGTGAGTTTCAGTCGTATATACTAATTCCAAGTTAAAGGTGAGTCTAGGTGGAACCCAACATAACGAACTCAGTCGATTTTGAGAGAGTAGATTTGCTTCTGGAGTGTAAATCTAATATGGACGTACTTGCTTTTATTTATCGTCATTTTGCAATTTTACACCAATCTGCTAACGTGATATGCAGGTTTTCCGAAGCAATCGCTGGATCGGGGTCAGAGCTGTGTCATCGGCAAATGGAAACATCTTCAGTAATAAGGATTTAGATCACACTTCTCTGCGGTATTTCCGTGGCCATAAAGTAGTATTAGGAGTAGTTTGATCCTGGTCGGACTCGAAAGAACCGTTAAGAGTGAGATAAGAACGAGTAACTCAAACAAACAGAAATGTACAGACCCACCACAAAAGATGGCGACGAGCCGAAACTCACCAAACAGACCAAAACATCTATGCTACGCAAGCTAGCTTACCTTGAGTCTTTGGAGTGTACAGTTTTCCTTCCTTCCTCTGCGATCTATTAGATCTATTGTAAAATGGACCCTTCTTTGTTTCCATACCCCAGAAAAAGCTCAGCTCCGATTCCACACGATCTTGGCAAAAACTGGGAGCGTATTTCTCTCGGCGGGATTGTGGTAATCATCCAATGTTGCCTGTTTACGCCAATGTAAACAATTTTTTATTAATAGTTGATCAATTAAATTTATATAATTTTCTTCCTTTCATACACGTTAAAAACGAAAATTTGTAAAAATAAGAATAGGCTGGAGGGAGAGAAACAGGTAATTTTCCAGCGATTCGCCCTAAAAACGGCCAGTCCTTCCAGGATTCCATCGTGTACGTTCGAACGTATCTTTGCCTTTCGTCCGGCCAGTGGCTCCCAGACTTCTAGGCGGTACGCTAAAACAGTAATATTAAACGTCCAAATAATTAAATTAATTATTTTAATTGTTATTATTTTTATAATATTAAGGTATTATTCTAATTTTTTATCTTTAATCATTAATTTATAATTAATTTCTTACAGTATTTGCCATTATAATATTTACTTGTTATATTTCCCGTTTTTCGCACGTTCAAAGCGCCATTAAAAAACCAGCTCCTCATTGGTTGGCGCCTTGGCGGGGTATCGGTGGTTTCACTTTTGCAATTCATGTCGAGAGACGTGGTTGTAGACATCCTTCGACCTGATGATGTGCTAAGTGGCTCGATATTCGGATCGTTGGAAAACAACTTACTGTGAGTAGGAACTATCTTTTTTGTAAAAAGGATTGAACACCGCACTCACTCCATCATTCACCATTTCTTTTAATTTCGTTGCTTACATCATAAATTACTAATTAATAAAGTTATATTCAGTTGCGCAAATGATTATTAAATTTTTATTGTCATATTAAACCCTTTATGCCACAGGCGGCAACTATCCCTGGAAGCGCCCGAACTTGGAGAGTAGATGTAAATACGCCGGCGTGTACAGAACATTGCCACCAGTTAAACATAATTGATAAAAACATACATTTTATACGAAATTTGTTTTATTTTTGTTGCATACTTATTTATAAAAATCAACTGGTCTGAAACGTTAATTAAACACTAAAAGTAATTTATAATGACTTAAATAAATAATAGTTTGTTTTTCACCTAGTGGGGAATTGAATTAAATCGATTTCATGTTGAGGTTATACGCAGGTTGCAATTTTCAGGTTATTCCTTGGCGAGTATGGAAGAAGAGCTTAGCGATCGGTACAAAAAGAAGTTGTGGATGGTAAGAAACAAGCCTGTACTTGATTACTGTATAAAAGTGTAAAAAAGAATTGTGCTTAAACTTTTTCTAATTTTAATAATTACTATTTGCCCCAAGTTAATATTTTGCTCTTATATACTTACTCATTTATACTTGTTCGGTCAATTGTGAGATTTCTGTTGTCTGCAAGGTGATTATGAACCTGAAATTGGGTTGTTCACGACAATTTGGTCTATTTATACTTGTTAGGTTGGTATGTGAGATGCATTTCAGCATCATCAATAGATCTCATATTGAATTTTAGTAGTTTAAAAATATGAGCATACATAGCAGCACCATGTTCAATGCATGTGTTAAAGCTCAACTCACCAAAAGCTATCGTTTTAGAAGTTTATTAACAGACCATTGTTATCTGTTATACAACCATTGTTTACTCGTTGTTAGCTATATGAAGATGAAGAACACCACTTTATCTTAGGGAGACACAATACCCGCAGACTGTGCCAATTAATTAAAACTATGGTTCTGGAAAAGCTTTTAAACTTAACACCTTCCTAAGGCCCTACCTGTGTAAAGGTGCAGCTTGTGAAAGGTAAGGAATACAGGTCCCAATGCTTGAGAAAATTAATTAAAATAAATAAGTAAATAGAGATATGGTACAATAAAAATTTAAATTCAAGCCCACATTGAGCATGTTACTACTGCTGCAACTAACGCTCCCAAAATTTCATTTCACTACTTCACCTGTTTTTTAAACATTATTTGTATGTTGTTGCTAACATTACATTCAATGACAAGTTCAAATCTCTTATAAATCAACTTTTGTCTCTTTCCATACAAAATTGTGTTAGCAATATTTTGAATTTATATTTCAAAACATGCAAATACATCTAAGAATCTCTTGTTGATTGCCTTTATACTTTAAAAAAATAAATATTTTTTCATGGTTTATCCGTTTTTTTTTTTTTCTTCACATCGAGTTGTTCGAGGTTCATACAGTTCAGTAGAATAATTGTACCTTCCATTTGTTTTTGAATAATTGTTACTGCTCTTGATTTACGTTTCCTAGGCAAGACTTTTTTTCCTCCCTCCCTCTGGTAAACCCTGAAGAAGGGCATTTCTTGTCGTGTACATTCCTTCTCTAAGATTAAGGGAGTTTTAACATTTGCATTTCATTTGATTTATTATTAGCTAATTATTTATTAACGAATTATCTCAAAAGGTAAAAAAACAACCCTTCTGTGGTTAACACATTGTTATCACATAATTTTCACTAATTTACATTTTTTTTTTTTTTGACTGGGGCTTCCGACATCTAGGTCATTTCAGCCCCCAACTAAGTCTATCTATATTCTATTTACCCTTTCACACTACATTCATACAAATAAATACATTCATGCACATAAATACATCCATACGGCACACTCATTCCGTTTGGTAGGTGGAGTACTTGATATTCCTCCACCGACCTATACTCAAACTAATCTAGAATGGGGTGAATTGAGTAGTTTTATAAATATTTCGCCATCGACCCCGAACACACACTCATACGCTCTCAACGTTCGAGGGGCGATGACATATTTCACCCTCACCATTCATGCTAATAAATACATGCACTCATACAAAACATATAGACACACAACACATAAGACATATTACATACAATAAAAAACCCCAATTTCCCCTAAAAAGCAGAACAGGGGACCCAGAAACCTGCTGCAGTACTCGAATACCATTTTCAGATTAGATGGCATGCCTACATGCTCCATGTAGGGAGCCAAGGCATGACATGTTTCCAATATGTGGGACACATCGAGCAACCTTTCTCTGCATAAGGGGCACCTGTGCGGGCTTTGGCCCAAGAGCAGGTGCTCGTGTGTCAACCGTGTATGTAATTTAAATTATTATATTGTATATTATAGGTAAGAAATTGTGATGTGTACAATGACGAATACAAGGACTGCAAAAGTATTAAAGCAAGGTTCCACCAACAATTTGTGTACGGTTCATTTGTCGACTGTTCCCAGTGGAAAAGGGATTATAACAACTGTGAAAAATGGAATACCAAAAAAAACAAAAAAGCTGTAGTAAGTATGGACAATCTCTTTTTCATGTTATTATAAGTAAGTTTTGTTGAAAAATTATAACTATTTGGTTTTATTGTTTTAATTATTTTCAAAGGAAGAGTTAATCGAGAGTGAAGTAGCTAGAAGAAAAGAGCGTTTAGATGCTCATTTTAACAATGATATTTGGGAAAGAAGAGATAATCCGCCAGCAGAGTGGAATGACCCTCTGCCTGAGAGGTTCAAGAATAGGGTGGAAAAGTCCTATCTCGCACTCAAAAGTAAAGAAATGAAAGAAGGCGTGACACCTGAAAGGACGTTCTGTGTTATTTCTTAGCAATTATATGTGAATTATACACAAAAGTTAGTTATTAAATTTTAGGATTTCGCTCAGTTTTAAAATTATATACTATTAAAAATTTGATTTCTGTTTATTCAACATGGATTGTTATAAAACAAGACTAATAATGTTCCTTCAGTTTTTCTATACCGACAATGTTTTTACAAGGATTTCTTTACATACTGAACATTATTTCTTATTCCACATATGTATTTAGTAGTCATAATTGATAGTATTATTTTAATTAATCATACTTTTTATCTAAGGTTCCGTTTGAGCGGAAAAAGATGTCGCGAGCGGGATTCAAATCGCATAGAGCTATACACTAGCTTTTTCATCTCAACGAATTGCTCAGATTAACAAACATTATGATTAATTAAAATGATTTCTTATTTTTTTCATTGTGTCAATTACCTAACATTAAGTTTCTATTAATTTCCAGCAATGTTTGTGAAGGGTTAGTTGCGAAATCAGAATCAAGTGAAATTGGAGAAGTGTTTAACAAAAATTATATTTAACATACTATTAATTTATTATTTGAAATATTCCAAAGTAATATAATCTTAATTAAATAAGATGGTAAGATGGGTCTACAGAAATTTTGTAAAAAAAAAAAAGGGGGAAAAAAAGAACAGCTACATATTTACGACACCAATATGCACTATATTCTTATATGATGTGAGAGACCACTAGTATAATCAATCTCTAATTACAGTACCTTACCAGTAATAAAAAAACAAAAAAACTGCTGAGTCAAAATTAATTATAAAATAACATAGTTTACAAATATATCATTGCAGTAATGTAATTATAAAGAGAAAAAAATGATGTAACAAAATTACGAGCCAGTGAGGCCACAAAATAAAGATGAAGATTAAAATTCGGTAAGTATGGAAATATAAAATTTAACAAAAATTAAGGTTGACGGGAGTTGATGCTTGTTTTGCTATTAGGTAAGGGAGTTTTTTTTAAGCTTTTTTTTATACATCATAATGAAAGTACACATACTATAATTTTATTTTGCCACAGACTACTTGGAAGCTGAGTTACTATGAATTTAATTGGAGTATTTTGCATTCGGTTGTTTAGTTGCCTGGATCGCCCGATAATCCAGTGAAAAGAATTCTCTGCTGTCTCTTTTTCTTTTTCCTCCCTTGGTTTTGCTCTTTCGCTAAAACACAAATATAATTGTTAATTTGCATTTTATAATTGTATAAAATAGATTAAAACCTTTTTCATTTCTTGTTGCGGCTTCGAGTGCTTCAGCAAAATTGAATGAAGGCTTGGCCGGGGGAGAGAACGAATATTCGCTTTCTTCTTCCAGCCTGACACTTGGCTGCCTTTGTCTCCTTGGCTGACTCCATGCCCCAGAGGTGGTAGTCGGTGTAAAACTGGCGTCTGCAACAGAAGGCCAGGCATCTCCGAGCGGCATAGTTGTCTTTCCTTCTCTCAGCATCTAAAAATTTGTTTTTTTAAAATCCATAGGATATTTGGCAAAGAAGAAACATACTTGTGCGAATGAAGGTCCACTGTCGTCAGGAGCATCTAAAGACAAAGCAGCCATTGCAGCTGAAGTTGGTGAACGGCTCCTGACCGGCTGAGGACTTGATGATCTGCTTGATGCTCCTGAAGCCTGATCCCTAAAAATAAGCATAACTCTGTTATTAATGCATGCTGTCAAGAATTCACTAATTTCGTGGTCCGCTTGACCAATTAATATATTGCAATTAATTAAGGTTTTTAGTTGAGATAAAAAGTCAATGGCACGAGCGGGATTCGAACCCACGATCTTCGGCTAGATACGCCGCTGCTGTACCACTTGAGCTATCGTGACCTCGATCCACTCGGACACCAACTTCCCATCATCTCAACCCCACCTTTTGAATTTTCCCTCCTTTTTGCCATTTATTTTAGGGAAAATTCAAAAGGTGGGGTTGAGATGGGAAGTTTCCATTTCATTAACTTTTCACCTTGGTGGTTGTCGAGGGAAATCATTTTCGCCACATCCTGGGAAATGATAGTGCGATTCAATGCGTAAATTGGGGTCTGGGCCCCTGCCAAATTGACTCATAACAGTCTCTGCTATCATTTTCTCCCGCTTTCTCTCCGCTCTTGCTTGCCTTTGCCTTCGCTTTTTACGTGTTTCTAGTTGTTCTGAAGACAATGGAATAATCGATCAATACATTGTTCAGTTAAAGTTGAACTAATATTGTGCTTACCATGAAATTCCTCCAATACTTCTTTTAAAATGAGAGGCATGTGTAAATTAAGCTCAACAACTTCAAACTGGCAAGTAATAGGTACGTGCTGTAAATATTTAAGCCTTTTCCTCAATTCCCTTGTCATCGAACCGACTTCTTTTTCAACAATTTTTCCTTGTATTGTGACTGGGCAATGTTCAAGACTCCCATATGACTTTTCAAGCATACGAAGATTAATAGAATGAAGATAAATCTCCTGGCCATCAATAGCTGTCGAGTGAGAGAAATAAAAGTATTACAAATATTAGAATAATTTTTTTTCTTTTTACCTTGGTAAAAGTAGAAAAATTTTGTAGGCTGTGCTGAAGTCGGGTTTTCAAATTCAAGGTCAGCCACAGTTAATTCGTTGTTATACTCTGAACCAACACTTTCAGATTGATTTCTGAAGGAATCAAATACCCAAAAGTGTACTAACAATGAGACAAAACTATAAAAAAAAAGTATATTTACGTATTTTTAATTTTTTCGTCCCATTTATCTGCTGCTCCCATCTCATCAATGGATTCAGACTGGCGTTGTTCATTTGACAATGGCTGATTTTCAAAATAATCCTTCAAAAAAATTGTATAAATTAGTTATACAGGAACAAGGTTGGAATGTACAGCATTTTTTTTTTACATAAGCAGGCTCTGAAACACTGTTCCCTTCCTTTGAATTTTCAGTTTGGACATCAACCGGTTGGGCTTCTGAAGCACTGGTTACCTGTAAAATTTTACAATAAATATACTTGTATTTAAACTTCATATATTAATATTAATACCTTGTTGCCTAAGCTGAGAATGCGCTGGTTTAAATTCTCAAGCGCTTGTTCAATAAAACATAATTCTGGCTGACCTTTAAATTCTTTAAGTTGCTCTTCAAGTTGGGACTTTTCTTTGTTAATGATCTCATCAATCTATTTATGTATTAGATCGAAATAAGTAAAAAGTGCGAGATTTTAATTAATTATTGATCTTACATCTGAACGTTGGGCAAGCAACAATTTAGAATATACGGTGACTAAATTTTTCTCAGACAAGTCAAGGATAGGCAGATTTGATCTCGCCGGGAACTCGTTCACAGGCACTGCTATTAAGGAGCCTTTTTCACGCTTCATCAACTGAAGGGTTATGTTTTTCCCAACTGTGTATGAATTTCGCTCGACACATTCAACACTAAAATCATGGTTGTTAATTATTACAATCACATTTCACTAAGCAAAAAATTACCTTTTAAGATCTTTGTTATGAATGGCCTCATAGCATATAGGACACTTTCTCCATGTTTTATCTGTTAGAGCCAAGTAATGAAGGATGCACATCCAACAATAAATGTGGCCACATCGCGTGATTTTGGCAGCTGTTGGTGGATATAGACAAATGGGACATGTGATCGTCTCATTGCTACCAACTCTCTAAAATTAAAATTATAATTTAAAACTTTGATTAATAATTGAAAAACTGTTAAACAATTTTATACTCACAATCAACTCGACAAACTGCCAATCAACAAGCAAATCAGGATCTCCGAGGTTACAACCATAATCTCCATCTGCGCTAACAACAAACTGACAACTGGAAAAAAAATATCCTAACTTATTTATTATTAAATATGTAAATAAATAATTTATATAACAAATTTTGTTAACACAAACCTAACATTTTGTTAATTCAAAACAAGACTCACTTAGCTTGCAGAAACTGCTCCTTGTTGTATTTATGCACGTGTGTTGACATGAGAGATTTGGTCGAATAATTCTGTCGATGTTCCACATGAGACCTTTCACCTGCCACCCTTCTCGGCTCATAATGAAAATTAAGGAGATGAGTCAAGTTCTGCTTCTTATTCCTTTCAGTAAAGAGCACTTCAATTTCTTCATCATCCAGCGCTGCCCCAGTTATCTGACAAAATCCAAAACAAAATATATATATAAATATATAAAGATGAATATTTTTTCGGTATGTATTATGGGAGGAAAAAATACCTGGCTATTCTCTCTACGACCCCCATTGAAGCCTCTTGGCTTGGGTCTTTTGTCGAAAATCTGGTGTTTCTGAGGAGGCGGTCTTCTCGTTTCATTTTTGACCACACTGTTGGAACTGCCCGTGGGCTCCCGTTTCCGGTTGCCACGGGGAAATTGCTTTCCATTTTGCCCATCTATAAATTAAAAACAAAAGGTTAAATTAATCAAAATTGGTGCAATTTACAAAACCCCAGTTCCTAAGAGTGGTAAATTTGGGTTGTAATTAGTGAATTGTACAAGGCTTGGTGCAATATTATACTGCTCATAACTTTGTAGTTAGTCAGGATGGATATAAATATTTTGAACTTATGATGCTGCATTATTGAAAATAATCTGCATACAAAAAGTGCATATTTTCATTAACATCTAAATAATTACCATTTAAAATTTGAACGTTACATTTTCTTCAACAGTTTTCTGCATAAATTTGTAAAATCATTTTTTCTGTTACTTCTTCTTACTCTAATCAGGGTTGACCAAAGATAGGTTTGCCTTATTTATTTTTCAACTCATCCCTTAATTTTTTACAAGTTAGAAATATTTTTTTACATGTTAAAATGACCTAATTTCCGGATTAAACATTAAAAATGGTATCAATTATTGTTTTCATGACCATTTTTATAAATGTCTTACTGGCGATGTTGCCAAGCTGTGGAGGTTTTACAATCATAATTTCTTATTATGCTTAATAAGACTTCTTTTTATTTATTTTCATGCCATGTACCATGTATACTAAAGTAGGGGAGATAAGATTTTGTCTCCCTCCCAAAGCAAAACAAAAAATTATAAAATTTTATTATACAATAATTAAGTTCATTTGAATTATTTTTGTTTAGGACCGCACTCTTTGCAATGTATCATGGGCGATACATTTTTTATTAAAAATTTACTTGTGCTTCTAAAACTATTTTTCCAATAATCAGAATACTGGAATCTAATTAAAAAATAAATAAAATAAAATAATAATTCAAATAAAATATTTTGTAATATTTTTGTTTTACCAAGTTAATGGTTAAAAAGAAGTTTACAATAAAATTTTGTTTTTTCGTTAAATTTTCAAATTTAATGCTGGCTGCCTAACTCACTGCTAGTGAATAACTCCACTCAAGTCCTTATCAGTATCAAAGTAGATAAGACAATTAAAAAAAAATTAATGAGATCTAAAGGCAAGTATATCTCAATTCTGAATTAAAAAGAAGTTTGTAAAGCATTTTGCATAAATTTAATTTTTTTCCGAGGATATTTCAACCGGTGTTTTTGAAAAAAAAAAAGCCCATTTGTATGTATGTTGGGTTCAAATGCAGGACCTGTTACCTTACAGTGATGAGTGCCGTGTCAACGCCTAAGCCATTACAGCCACTGACCTCCCCCACAATATAATTAATTGAGGTATATGAACCAAGAAAGTGTAAACAGAGAGAACTGGATGATCAAACTTTATTGATGGTTATATTTAGCCATGAAACTAAAATAATGTAGGTTTAGAGTTAGGTATTGCTCTTTGCCATTATATATAATTGAGATTTTGTTAAAGTTTCATGATTAACTTGTTAGTTAAAAGTACAGAAAGACTGAGGTGACTGAGTAGTAAAAGCATCAAACTCACTAGCAGTTCTGAGTTTGAATCCCGACAGAGCCCCTCGCTTTTAACAAAAATTAATAAAATATGTAATAATAAATTCAATCAAAATCAATAAATTAATTAAAAATGGTATAACAATAGCACATGTTTACAGAGAAGTTGCATAGCAACACTCCTTCACAGTGGAGAAGGAATTTAAATAATTTGTACACTAACAGTACAGTTTAAGTCAATGAATTTTATAAATTTATAAAAATTATCAATATTTGTGTACAGTGCCATAAAATACAGTCAAACCTCTTATAAGTGGATACCACTTGAGAATGAGATTTTGCCTGGTTATTAGAAGGGTCCATATACTCTGCAGTTATACTCTCACACATATTCTATATTTATAAATAAAAAATATTAAATTGTGATATTTCGGCCTGTGGACAGACACACTGAAGATGATGACATGTCTAAATGAAGTCAGCCAGTGAGGATAGGTAATGAAAATGAATCAAATTACAGAAAAAGCATTAGGTACGTTAAGCAAAAGTAAAAAAACAAATTGAATCAAAATGTATGTACGCACGTATATTTTTTAAAATTTTATTATGTGGACTTGTATGGCTGACCCTTTCTCTGTAAAAAGTTTTTTTTTCTGAATCTGCACAATTGGAAAACTGTCCAGGAAGCTTCAAAGGTTTCCATGAGGGGGTCATGTGGGGTGTGAATTTCCCAAAACATTAGGACTATTTCTGACAAGGCTATTAATTGTCAATTCAACTCAGTCGCCTACTACACTCACAACTAGTTGACTACCCTTGTTAAGACCATTTCTTGGCTGGTTTCACATCAGGCTACTAATGGAATCAACTTCTTTTTTTGTACGATATTAGAACCCGAGGAAGCAGCACTTCTACAAGAGAAGGAACAAGAAGGAACATCACCCTTCTGTACAACTAGTTGACTAGATGCCTCATCTGAAAGAGTTCTTTATTGCATTGTGAGAAAAACTTGAAAATTATCTGTCCATAGAATCCCCAGTTGGTTTTCTGTATGCTGACCGCTTATAAGAGACTTTTTCATTGAAAAATCTATAAACATGGTGCCCATGTTGTTTGTTAGAATATCCAGTTAAGGGAAATACTTTTCTTTGAAGAAATTGAATGGGGTGAAAAAATTGTCTGGTCATGATGGTTTTCCTTAGGAGGATTATTTGATTTTGATCACTGAACAAGAGCTATCCATCTTTATGCGGGGATGTGATGAGCTTATGCCTGTTTGATACGAAAAAGGAAAACAATTTTATCATATCATCGTAGACATTAAATACTTTCAAGACAAGATTAGGGAATAAATGACATAATGTCGCAATTTGTTTTCCACTTGTGTACAATCACTTAAAATTATTTATAACAACTATTTATTTAATTGGAGGAATGGAACATCATACCACAGCTTAAAATATTTTAAACAAATATAACTTTTTTATTTGATAAGAGGTCACCATGGTGCGTGTTGAACAGGTCAGTAACACCTAGTCCTAAGTCAACATTGTGATCATCCTGGTCCGCCTGTTATCGCTACTTGAGTATTTCAAATACAATCTCTATTAAATGTTAGTTTTAATAAAGGGTGAAAAAAAATTTACATTCCAGTGTGAATAGGTGGGGACAGGATGATCATGGCCGGATCCAATTTTAAAGATATACAAAAATATCATTATGTGATGCAATGTTGGCAGGACGAAATCGTCGTCATTATTGATACTTGTGATGTTTTTCATTGGTAAGGTTCGACGTGACAACGCTAAATAGACTGTTATAAAAAAATAAAACCTGCAATCAGGATTTTTCTAAGAAATCAAAATGACGAACCTGGTGTCTTTTTAGAATCAGTTCCACTGCCCTTGGTCGAGGGCTGTAAAGAACGATTCTTCTTTTCCATCGTCAAATCCTCTAACATCTACAATATCACAGTGGGAGAAAACGTCTCCGGATGGAGAAACGGCTGATCCCTTCAAAGTCGACATCTTATTCAGCAATCCATGGTTACAGGTCCCGAATTTAATAATGATCCTTCCGATTCGTTTGTGAAAGCTACCTTTGAGAGGGGCGGAGAAAAGACTACAAAAAAAACCGAAAGACGATTTTTATCACGTCGGGGAGCCGATCCCACAGTCGTCGGAACGACGATTTCCTACGTTCACTCACAAAACTTATACGTCGCAGTCGAAGCGACGACCTTGACGCACTAAAATAAAATGGCGAGCCTCGGAGAAAACCCAATCCGATACCAAAGCCTACCATATCAAACAATTTTTTTTATACTGCGAATTATAACAGCATTTATTATAATGATTTTCGAGAGTGATTTGTTTTTAGTCATTTAGAATAATTTATATTAATGTTCAAATAAGCAAAATGCTTTTTTTTTTCAACCTCTGGACAGGTACATCAAACACGTCAATTGTATTTAACTCCGTAGGGGGCGCTACTGAGTTTTAATCCCTTCTTATTAAACTTGGTGAACTTGGTTAAAAAAATTTTAATGTAAAAATAATTTATTTCTAGTCTGTACATACGGCTCCAAAACCGACAAGGGTACGGGAGCTGGTGTCTTCGAGTTGAACCCAAAGACCGAACTGACGGTAAACCTAAGTAAATATGCTGTAGTTTTCCTGTATGAAATCATAGCGACTGAACAATGCGCCAGAAAAATAAAAAGGCTAGGAATACATCCCCGGAAGATAGCCATTTTCTCTGACTGTCAGGCAGCACTTAGTAGGGCCCTAGCGTCTAGCCTCATGAGAGGCGAAGGCAAAGAGTGTGACCGAACTGCATTGAGGCCCTGATGGAAGTCAGCGACACCAATGGCCTGACCCTGGCTTTGGGTCCTTGGGCACTCGGGGCATAGAGGCAACGAAAAGGTTGACATATTGGCCAAAAAGGAGGCCAACATGGACTTTCTGGGTCCTGAACCCTACTGTGGCTTAGCACCCTGCACAAAAGAGAATACATCTTAACGAGTCCAAAACCTAGTGGAACAATACTACAGGTATGAGGCACGCGAATAGATTCATAGAAGGACCATCCGCAAAACTTACAAAAGAATTACTGGAAGGCAACTGCACCCGAACCAGGATTATGGTTGGACTCCTGGCACTGCCACTTAAGAAGGCACATGCACCGGATAGGAATACAGACCGAAGAAACACTGTGCAGATGCTGCCAGGAAGAGGAGGACCGCAGAACACATTCTATATTCTTCTTCTTCTTCGGTTCTTTCAACTAGGCCAAAGAAAACCACAAGCAAGATCCTACACTAAGGAGCCGCTGGCAAAGGTATGGAGGCTGATTAATAACCTGAAGCTGGTCAGTGAGTTATAAATAACAGGGATCACAATAGATCCATTCAGGTCAAGTGCAGTAGTGTGGCAGGCTCTTTTATCCCTATCCCTAGTATGTACTTAAAAAATACATATTTAAAATATGTGCGTATATGGTTTTTTCTCACGATTACAACACTAACGCTATAAAAAAATAATGGTAATGACTTATGAAAAAGTGATTATATCAATTCTATAGTTCAAAAGTATCGCAAAGAAAGAGTTTGTGAGTATAACTATCATTTCGAACTATTACTAGCGATACTATGGCAGTGATCCAGAAGGGCCCAGGTTAAGAGAAACTGGCTTGCCGGCTGGTACTCTATATGAGGAATTTAGGAGTCGAGGAGGTCCGTTGAAGGCGTCGTGGCTGGGAAAGAAAGTCCTTGGGTTTAGGATGGATTAACAGCTTGGTGTGGAATATTTGGAATCGGGATTGGATCAGATCGTTGACAAAAGTAACATTTAGGTCTTTGTAGACAGTGAGAGTAAGGAGCTTTGGCAGTTTGTCCGAGGGTTTTGATTGGAAAGATTAGATGCACTGGATATTTCTTCGCTTTAAGTCTTCGTTTACAAGTCTTCTGTTAAGGTGTTGGCCTTAAGTCTTGTATGGTTAATCCACGTCATTGCACTAGGTTACTGCACTATCGCCATGCAACCATCTTTCTAGTTATAAGAGGATTCTCCCAATATATAGTTCGGCCGGATAGTTAAGAGTAGCTACTGCGATAGTCGACGAACTACTATATGTAAACACCCCTATCACGCTTTCATGCTTGCAAGTTGTCAAAATAAGTTAATACAAGCAAGTACCTACCTAATAGTTTCGTTAAAATGCCAGTTCAATCCTCCGATGTTTTTGAATGATCTCCGATTTTAGTTAACGACAAACCTGTCCTGATGTTAAAAAATAATTCAAAAGGGTGCAGCCAAACTTCTGCTGCTCCCCATTTCTTTAAACTGTAAATTTTGGCAACTTCAACAACAAAATCAGCCGTTGCGATAATTCTTCGCCCATTTCAACTACTATCAAGAAACCACGTCAAACTGCATACTGTCACAGTGTACCACTCTCATACTATTGCTAGAGAACTATCGCGTTTAAACGAAGCTTAAATGCCTGATTTCAATGTTAGTTGGTAGCTCTTTTATAGTTATATGAAAAAATTTAAAACGCATTTAATGCAATATATTGAGAGGAACAAGCAGCTCAACTGGGGGTTGACGCTAGTGTTCTTTTTCAAAAAACAAATAAAATGCAAAATTTAGTTAGTTCCAAAGCTTTCACTTTGGTTGTCTAAAATAAGTTGATCGTTGATCTTTTTCATGCCCAATTTCAATGGACTTTGGTTGCCACCTTGGAAACATTCAGAGGATGGCATACAAAAGTGCTGGAGGACAAACTGAAGTATTACCTAAGAGAAAGCCATAATAAAATCCTAAAAAAGCATAGAAATAAATAATACGTTTGGCAAAATGAAAATAAATTTTGACAGACCCTTCCAAATAAAAATAATGAGATGTGTTCGGAAGAATAAAACCGCTGAATTTAGCAGACGGGCCTTATTATTGTGTACAAATGGATCTAAACTGTGTGATTAGTGATCGTTAATTGATAATTATTCAGAAATCGTGAGATGCGGTCTGGTGTGATGTAGGTTTCAGAAAAACATTTTCTTTATCGTGCCAACGTTTCGATCTTTATTGAGATCATCTTCAGGGCTGAGTTGATGCACAGAGGCACTCTCAACACGACACGCAAGAATGGCATAATTACACAGAAGACAAACACTTTGAGCCCTGAAAATGATCCCAATAAAGATCGAAACGTTGGCACGATAAAGAAAATGTTTTTCTGAAACCTACATCACACCAGACCGCATCTCACGATTTCTGAATAACTAAAATAGAACGTCGAGTGAAGACAGGAGTTAAGGAAACAAATTTTGACCTAGCGAACCATCTAGGCCCCACACTACCAATTTTCCAAGCTGAGATCGAATGCAATAGAACTCTGTGCATAACGTACATAAAAGTGGATTAAAAGGTGCACAGATATATGTACAAATTCTCAGACAATCTTAGGCTTTAGACTTCTTAGGGAAAATGATGGGGAGTGATTGATTAAACATACGTTGATAAACAATACCAAATAAATTTAATTTTTAATATGGACATCGTAATAAATATGTGGCACAATGATTACATACGTTTTTCTCTAATCGACAAGATGAATAGCTCTGTGGCAAATATAACCACAGGTGGTCGGACAGCATTTTTCATAACGTTCGCACTGTACATCTGACGTGCAAAGATTCCCGCATAAGGATGGCCTATCCTCCTCGGGACCGAAATCGAACCCGAAGGGACTAATTTTGCCTATATACGGGCACAAACCTCTATGACCACCTGAAACAGAAACATGGGGCTGTATAAAAACAATCTTACCACCAGGTGTAAAGAACATCATTTGACGACATGAAGCATGAGTCAGAAAATTCTATACTTTCAAAATTAAAAAACTCGCCTGTATTTTCTACTTTTTATATTTATTTCAAATAAAAAGAAAGAACATGCAGTTTTTCACTGTTACACAGAGTACTCCATGTATCTAGACAAATTTACCACAAATCGGCTGGGATAGAATTATTACAGCACGTGTGATACATGATTTTGTGATTACATTAAGTTTTGTGTTCATGAGTATATTGAATAACATGTAAATAACAAGAAACAAGCTTATATCTTTTACCCCCATTATATAAACGTTTTCTACTTTGAAGAGATAAATAAAATAAGTCACTGTTGGGTTTATTCGAACAAAGAAAAATGTAGAAAGAGGATAAATAGGTTTGTACATACAATCCGGGATGGCCAAGACTTCACATAGGCAAAGAATTACACAGGCAGTGAGAAATATCTTACATTCCATTTTAAAAGTTAGTGACGATATCCGGCCAAAATCCAGTTTATACTAAGCCCTCCTACCCAATTTATAAAGTGGTGGAATTTAATTTTTTGACTTTACCATCTGGAAATTCCTATTTTCCAAGGATTTGAAGGTGAAGCCGATTTGAGGACACAAGGATTTGGAAAAACACACTTTTCCTAATTATAATTTTGCATTTATAAATTTGCCTAATCCTAATTATAATTGAACCGTAATTGTGATCATTATTAAACTTTAAATAGTATTTTTCAAGTTGTTTAAATAAATATTTGTTTAAAAATCGAAAACATACAAAACGTAATAAACTTATACAAAAATTTGTTTTGTACATTCATTATTTCATCTATGATCCAAAAGTTTCTGGAGGAAAAAGTCAATTACATCAGCAACGGTAAATTTTATTAAGCATAATTTTTTTCTTTGACGATTTATCCAAATATTCTCTGTATCTGTGGTATCTCTCTTCGGCATCGACCAAAGGCAAGTTGCACAAGTTCCACGTCCTTCCTTTGGAGAAATCTGAAATAGAGATGAAAAATTTTCATATAATGTTTAACACTTACACTATCGATGATAAAAGTTTAAACGTATAATTAATAACCTGTTTTAATCATTTCGATAGCGGCTTGTGCAAGTTCGTCGGCTCCAAGAATTTCCTCTTGTACTTCCTGAATTTGATTTCTGTTATAACAATTACATGTTATTGCAATAAGATTGGTTATCTTATGAAGTTTATATTTTCAGTATTAGAAGTATGGACAATTTTTCACTTACGAACTCTCTGGTTCAAGGGTATGGTCTTGAGGAAGAAGAAAGCAAATTTAGTTGCTAATGCTAAGCTTTCGACCTATTTTAAGGTCATCATCAGGGCAAAACAACCTTAAATATGTCTACAGATTGTCATATTTAAGTATTTTAATACATTATAATTAATTAAGGTTTTTAGTTGAGATAAAAAAGTCAATGGCACGAGCGGGATTCGAACCCACGATCTTCGGCTTGATACGCCGCTGCTCTACCACTTGAGCTATGGTGACCTCGATCCACTCGGACACCAACTTCCCATCTCAACCGCACCTTTTGAATTTTCCCTCCTTTTTGCCATTTTTCATGCCATTGCTCGTGCCATTGACTTTTTTATCTCAACTAAAAACCTTAATTAATTATAATATATTAATTGGTCAAGCGGACCACGAAATTAGTGAATTTTTTATACAGGCGGTCTCAAATTTCTTTGAAGATCGATTCAGTCTCAACACTGCCATGGACTGTGACATCACACCTTGATACAGAGTGTTCGCAAATTACAATACGATGCCTATAAATTATAAATAAAAGAGAAGATTATTTTTCATAGGTTATAATGACAAGGAAAGGCAACAATATCAGAATAAATAGTCATTTGCTCTTTACTAAAGTGTTATTAGAAAAAAAAGGGCGAGAGAAAGAAAGAGAGAGAGAGAGAGAGAGAGAGAGAGAGAGAGAGAAAGGAGAGAAAGTGAGAGAGAGAGGAGAGAGAGTGAAAGAGAGAAAGGAGAGAGAGGGGAGAGAGAGGGAGAGGGAGGGAGAGAGAGAGAGAGAGAGAGAGAGAGAGAGAGATAGAGATAGAGAGAGAGAGAGAGAGACAGGCAAGCAGGGAGACAGATAGTGAATGACAAACTCGCACATCGACTTGCGTTTGTTTTATTCCCTTCACAGAAAAACATTGACTACTCCCCAACCATAGCCAACCTAATCTAACCCATTCATAACCCTACATAACCTAACCAAACCATTCATAACCTAACCCTACTCTCTTCCCGGTAACTCGACATCTTCGAACAGAAAATGGCCACGTCAAAACTTAGCATAGTTAGCCCAAAAACATATATATATATATATCCATGTTAAAAAGCACAAAGCAAGAAGGCGGCTGATAAAGTAATTTTAGATGACGTTGCAGATGTTTCAGTTCACAGGAAAGGCTTTCAGATAAGCTTCATAGTCTCCCAGTTGTCCATCTTGCTGAATTATCTGAAAGTGTGAGGTTATTCCAGAATGGCCACCAGATAAACAAGGCTTCTAGTCTACCTAATCCACTTGGAAAAACACAATTAAGGTGGTGGTGTGTAGATCTATTCCGAATTTAGTCATTTTTTTTCGATTTTGACTTATTTTGAAAGCATATATTAATCTTAAGTGGGATACCCAATGCCGACGGTTCAAGCAGCTTGATGAAGTTTAAATAAGTGAAATTCTTAAGTGGGCCTTTGCTCTTGTTCAAAACGACAGGACTTTGATAAAACGGTGTCAAGCAATCTACAAACAAAATTTGGAGAATGGATAGAGCATGTTGCCTCTCGTGTAACCCTGATGTCACGCCGTCCGATCTTTTCTGTTCAATGGTGAATGTTTTAAAGAATAACCCGGGTTTATCAACCGGTATTAAGCAATGTCGAAAAAAGACAACGCTCCTCCACATCGATCATTTTGAGACAGACACAATTTGCAGAAAGAGATAGAACAAGCGTCTGTTCTAGATAAATCCAAGTTTCACGCCATCTCTCCACGATATCATATGGGATATTAATTTAAGGGACTTAAAGAATCAATGATAAGGGAAGTTTTCCATTAAAAAAAATTTAAACAGTCATATTGCTCTAAATTTAAATGGCATAGAGTTATTTTTGGAATGTGATGTATGGAATATATTATTAATATTGTACTAATGAAATGAAAGAGTATTTACTTGGTAGTTGTAGTATCAGGTTTGATTTCTTGTTCTTCATGTTTCACAAGATCGTATATGCCTTTTCTATCTTCTACTCTATCCTCTCTTCCATCCAGACTATTGCCTAGTTGTACACAAGTGACTGTATGAGATTTTACTCTAAAAACACGAACCAAAATTGCTTTTTAAGGAGTAATAAAGAAACCTTTAATATCGGACTCGTCTTCAATGTCTCGGTCAACCTCTTTGGCGTACATTTTTGCAGCTTTTTCGTAAGTGGAAAATGAAGGCCTGTAGTTATCTAAACCAATGGAGAAGAGAAGATTTAGGCAAAAATAATTAAAAAAGAAAAAACAATTACACTCCGGTTTGAAAGTAGTCTGGTAGCTGGTTAAAAACACATTTTCATCCTGGCTTTTTCTCTTTTGAATCAGTGAAGATTTGTATGCCCCGAATTCCTTCTTCATCTGAAACGAAATTTTTAATCTAAGAAATACTTTCGCTCCTATTATTTTTATACAATAGTCTTGATTAAATTTTGTTTTAAAAAATATATTAATTCTTTGTTTTTTAAAGTAAGATTTTTTCTTTTAATAAATATGCTTGCAGAAAGGCACTAGTTTAATTGAAAGAAACTTTACTATCAGAGATAACCTAAGGATAAGCAGTTTCATTTCTGCGACTTGCCTGTGACAATAGAAAAATATTTTTGATCGATCAAAGCAAAGTATTTGATGTTTGTAAACTGTATTTACACTGCTGTTGAGTAGGAAACTGCAAAAATATCGAAGTACAAAAACATTCAGGGTTCAACCAAACGCAAACTCATGACGAAATTCTGATTAAACCACATTGGCAATCAAGTCCCCTCTGCTGCTTGCTGAATTTTTTCCTCTCAAAAATATCCGAATTCCATCATTAGTGGAATCTCTGAAATAATCTGAGGATCGAAATGTGGATAGGCTTTTCAAGTGAAAAATATTTATAATGTGCTTTCCACTATTTTTGTCGATACCGCCTTCGCACTTAGTCTAATTTTCCAGATCTATCTTCAGAAGACAGCATTTTCTGGGAATTATAGTTGCAACTGTAAGAATGGCATGGAAATTAGTTGGCTATTTTGTATGAAATTGAGAGATGACTGTTTGGTCTGCGGGGTGATGGCAGGTAATTTGATCGTTGCCGATTGTTTTTGGTCTATCTATCGTCGATGTTTATTGTGGTCTATTAGTTAAGTATAGGCATTTCGCCATCTCCAGGGGTCGGTTACGATTAATACTTTTCGCCAGGAAAAGATTATTTCCATTGTTGTTAACTCTTGCAACGTGTGTCAGCACAATGCTACAGCTATGGTGGACTCGCTGAGTCGATTTTTCTTTCGATAAACAAAACCGCTGCGAGGGTCATTACCCTTAGGTCTTCTAATCTAGGTCTAATTTGTGTAATGAAATGTGTAATCAATAAATTCTATTATTCAGGGTATCACATGTTTTGGCAGAGCCCATTTCCATCTTCTTGAAACCGTTGTTCCGGCTCCTGCTAAGCCATGTTGTACTCCGAATCCCATATTTCCATATATCCTCGGATTTCTAGACAATGTTGCTGGCATAAGTGAAACAACCTCAACTAAAAGTATGACCAGCAGCTCACTTTAACTCTTAACTCCAGTATTCCTTTTCATACGATGGCAAACATAGTTAAATAAGTGAGCTAAGATACAAACAATATTAGACTAACTTTTTAATATTCTCATGCCCAAGAACGTTCATAAAAACCGAATAATAACAATTTTTGCTCACTCTTTCAGCCATAATCTCTTCACTTTCTGGTTCCACTTTTAGAGGCTTCCATCCTTCTATGGCAGCCAAGTAGTTTACAGGTTCAGGGTGATGTAGTCCAATGTTCTTGCCCCTGCGAAACCGAAATTGTAGGCAAATAAGATAGAAACTAGTTCTTTTCGATCCGTAGACTCACTCTCTTGTGTACAAGTCTTTTTTGGCCCACTCGTAATGCTCGCGATATTCGGTACTCATTTTGAATTGAATAGTGTTAGGGAATTTTCTATAAAAGAAGTGCAAATCATCTGTATTTATCGGCAAAACTAAATTTCCATTCTTCTTCAACTTTTAATAACACTATTCCAAGCCCGTCAACAACTTCGACGACAAATTCGTCATCATTATCGTTCTCGTCGTCACCATTGTCTTTAATGGTTTATTGGTGGGTAGTTCAAGATTTCCTTCTTTTTCCTTCTAAAGAAAAAACACTGTTCTGGTATATAAGATGTATATAACAGTTTGCACTATTATGACATTACGTAGGAATTTTTTTAAAGGCATTTATTTTTGATTTAAATAGACTCTTGATTTTCATGATAGAGATCATTGTATTTTCCCTTAAGCGGAAGGAATACTGCTCGGGTGCTTTCTTAGACGTTAGGTAGTCCTTTGATCGAGTGTGGGATCCAGGCTTGCTCTGGAAACTTAAGACCATCCTTCCATTAAGGTACGAATCGGAAAATTCTTCTCCCCAGCTATTACGCCAAGCAGGTGTTTCGCAAGGCAGCATCCTCGGACCCATTTTCTATTCAGTATAAATGTAGCGATAAGAGCGCCTTCCACTGTACAGGAGTCCCTATCCTGGAGGGAGACGAGTGCGGGGCAAAACAACGGAAAAAGACAGACAATAGGAAAACGAAAAACGTAAAAAAACAAACGTTACTTGTATAAAACAAACATTTAAACTAAAACTCAATTCTTTTAATTGTGGGTTTTTATTTTAAGATAAATCCCAAATATATTGTACACATTTCTATCAATCCTACTACTTCCGAGTAACTAGTAGTAAGAAGACGATACCACAATCCCATCAGCAAACTCAGACCCAGTGGTCTTCAGAACAGTACAATCTCTCCTGGAAGAATGGTTCTAGAAATAAATTATCAGACTCAATGAAACCAAATCCAACTTACACCAATTTCTTTAAAAGATAGTGCTTATTTAGTTTGGTGGTCGGGAATACTAGAGGGGTTAAAGGAATTCCTCCAATTAATTAATTCTTTTCACCCTAGTATAAAGGGTAATTTTATATTAGAAATAAATAAAGATGGTTGTTTAAAACCTTAAAAAATCAAACTGTGAGTAAGAATTATTTTTAAAGAGATTTAACAACATACTCACCCTACCTTTATCATTTGTAATAACTTACACTATTCGCTATATCATCTCTGCTTCAATCCACTACAAATCTGTTCCTCTCCCAATAACCGACATTGGTGAATCAACCGTGGTAAACCGTTCGCTATTTAGGTATTTCTATCGATAAAAGACTTACTTGGAATTCTCACGCTCAACTCAAAAGAATAGAATTGGACAGAATTGACTTCTGACTTGACTTGACAGAATTGACTTTTTTTATCTTGGGGGGTAGTGATGTCGGTATTTTTATCAATTACTTTCACAAAAGTACTTCGTGATTTAATATGAGTTCATCGTGAATAACGTGAAAGTTCACATCGTAAGTTATTGATGGTGATCGAGCAGGTGAAATTTTCAAGCGTGGAAAATTCTTTCGCTCCAAGTCACACTATTTTTACGGCCAAACCAAGAGAAAATTCTTTTAAATTTTTTTAAAACGGCATGTCATTAAATTTAGGCCGGATTCTGAGTAGAAGAGGGCGTAGGTTTATGTATCTGTCCCTAGTCCGGTTCACATGGAGGCAATCGGTAACTAGGAGGCCAAGATGTTTCAAGATAAGTTTGAAAACAAGATCATTTCCATAAAATAACGGTGACATTCTCCAAATGTAAGGCGTTTGGTGTTTCATGCACCCATGCTTTTCGTTTTGGTTTCTGCCTTTCTTCCTCCTCTTCCAACTCTGCGACCGCGACAAAAAAAAAAAATTCCTTTGTAATATGTCTCGTTTCTCAAATTCTTCTTTCTTCAGTTCACTTCGGTCTATACATGGTAAATAATTGTCCATGTGATCCCCTTAGTGATGGAATTTCAAAAAATCCTTTCTTAGCGGCTACCCATGTCATTATAGGACTGCACTGTCGAAATTTCAGCCCCTTAGATCTAGCGGTTTGGTCTGTGTGTTGCCTCACATTCAGGGAACTGTTTTTTACAAGGTGTATCAACTTCTATAGTCCACCCATATAATTCGGAAACGATTAACTTTAGAAAAAAAATGGTCTTATACAAACTCCAAGTTAATTTTGGCTAGGAATCACGTGGTGGTAACAGATTCAAATGACATCTCTTACTGTTATTTTTGTTTCTGTCATTTTCTCGAAGTTAATCCTCTTGAACTCGTACAATAATGTATATCTGAGAATTCATTTCATGTTGTGGTTTCCAACAAAAATGTATATAAGCGTCGAGAAGAGAGATATGTTTGTTGTTTTTGTTGATGCTGAGCAGAGAAGAAGGCCTGCGTCTGTACTCTACGGATTGCTTACGATTTCTTAATGGTTACCATATCCTTGGAATCTATTCCTAGCCAAAATTAACTTGGGGTTTGTATAAGACCATTTTTTGTTAAAGTTAATCTTTTCCGAAATAAACGGAAAGAGCCATCTTGATACAAAAGCATACCCCCTCACGCGTCTTCCGTCGGACATAACTCAGAAATGGTCGATCCTATCAAAATTTTCCTTTCAGTAAAAGTGGCATAAAATAAGCTCTAGAATCGAACTGTACAATAAAAATATGGGGTTCTCATTTGAAATAACAAAGTTAGTGTCATTTCCCTGCTAGATGAGAAAGTTATGTTAATGTTACCACCACGCGATTCCTAGCCATAATTAGCTTTGGGTTTGTATAAGACCATTTTTTCCTAAAATTAATCGTTTCCGAATTAAATGGGTGAACTGTAGAATATGACACACCCTGGGTATAAATACAAGATAAGGGTGGTTCAAAAATCCTTTCTGTGCGTTGTCTTTCAGCCAGTCACGGAACTGTTTTATATATATATATATATATATATATATATATAAATTTCGACGAATGATTTTTGGAACCGCAATTGTAGCAGTTACGACTGACATTTCGTATGCCTTGTAGGCGCTATAAAATTTGTTTTTCTCATTTCTTATAGAATTTTTTCACATAGTAACAGTTTTAAAAATAAATAGATAAAGATTAAAAAAATACAATTAAAAGACAAATAAATTCAAATGATAAGTACGAAAGGCGCCATTGCTAATCAACTCACGTGGTGGTCATGAAACCTCCCTGTTTTCATTCCTTGTTTATCGACAAATACAAATTTTAATTGTATTTTGTACCCTAAGTCCCTAACTCGTAATTGTCACTTGTTTACAGTTTTGATATAGCTTTTTATCATATTCACACATTCTTCTTTTACAGTATTCGCAAGTGAGAGATCCATAGGAATCATTTTGCAGCCAAGAAAAAGCCATCTCTTTGAAGCAAAAAATACTAAATCAGCTCATAAATTGAAATGGTAGAAGTCAACAGACATAATTTCGAGGAACACCTCAACCAAATACAGTACGATCTGAATAAATGCGCCTACTACTCGGTAGATTGTGAATTCACGAATTTACCCACTGATTTTGATGTGGAAAATAGGTATATTTGAATCTTTGATATATTCAAAATATTTTTTTCTCTAGACTCTTGCTTGTCTGCTTACCAGAAATCTTTTTATACCTTATATCTTATAAGTTAGAATTGTAAAGTACATTTACCTAACTCCAGTATACAAGCATTTTTTTTATAGTGCATGTCAAATCATTCAATGTACAGTGACTCACATTGGGTATACAGAGGATAGGAGGTCTTATGAACATAGCATATTAGACAAAGAAAACATGTGCATTTGATGATGCATTGTAATATTGAGAGAAGAGTATTAAGAAAAAAAGGGCCAGGGGTTATGGTCTACGAGCCGAGAGTATCACGCTAACCACTTGGCTACTGCAGTCCCAATGTACAAATTTAAAGAAATATTTATGCCGTTTTCATTTCACCATTCATCTAAATAAAATTTCTCAATTGTAATGGATGTCAACATAATGTGTTTGTTTAGCATATTGCGATTGGTTTGTTTTTAAAGCTGGTGTAACTTTTTTAACTTGATATGGTCCCACAGAAAGAAGTCGAGAGGCATTTGGAGGAGGAATAGTCTATCTGGGTGGCCTTGTTTAATTTTTTATACGACACCATAAAAACTTAAACCACTGTAATATTGTTGGTCAGGGGTTATTTATTCCTTTTTTATTTTCTTATTCATTTTTTACCTACTTATGTGTTTTGTACAATTTTACATATTACATCTACAATTGGCATTCATTCGGCAGAGTATATAGATATATGTATATCTGTGTAACAGCTATACAGGGTGTTTAATTCTGCTCCCCCCCTACTATATATATAAAAAAATTTTATCAGGCCATATTTGGGAAAAACCCACAGTCATGTAAACTTTTATTTTTTGTCTAGTTTCTTATGGTCCAAAATATTTTTGATCTAACTCTCCAAGATAGCAGGATTTTTTGATGCTGAATTCATTGGTGCAAATGGTTTTTCACAAAACACTATGCCCAAACTTTGTTAAAAAAAAAGTCTATACATATCAGGTATATGCATTAATTAGAGTAGTTTCATAATTTATCATGTTGACCATTCATTATATTATAAAATTTGTTTGGGTGGCTTGTTGGGTCTCTTATTCCGAATTTTAAGAGAAACGTGTTTTTCCCCTTCTCCTATAACTAACTATATTAACTCATCTGTAAATATTGTAAATATGATATATTTTATTATTGTGTAGCTAAACAGTGTGTTTGTTTGTATATAAATTTGGTTATTTGTGTATGTAATTATATAGTTTTTGTTTGGGTGAATGAGTAAGGAAGAGGGCCGATGGTGGAATATTGAGTTCTCCATCCCTTAAGTGAATAGGGGGCTGGTATGACTTCACTGTCGGTAGCTGGCCATAAAAAAATCATCGAAAAAAACAACTAATAAATTCCATCCCTCAATATTAATTCCTAACCTTCATTAACATTTTATTTTCATAAATTATTATTTCATTTTTTTTTCAAGTGTATTTGATGGAGGTGATGATAGATACGCAAAAATCCGAGGAAAGATTAGTGGATGTGTAATTTTACAAGTTGGGCTAACACCTTTTATTTTCAACCGAGACCTTAACCATTACAAAGCCTCTTTGTATAAATTTTATATATTCCCAAATGACTTTGGGCCACTAAACCAATTTGTAGTTTTTAAGGCGTCTACAGTGAGATTTCTTAGGGACAATAAATTTGACTTCAATAAGGTATCTTTTGAATAATTATCACAAACTTCTTTGTTGTTTTAAAAGTTTATTTTTTGTTTTGTTCCCTTTGTTTTAGGGATTTTATGATGGCATAACATGTTTGAATAAAACACAAGAGCGGGAAATCAAATCGGAAATAGAATCTGGTAAGTTGACACACAGTCTTATAGAAGCGGTGACATATGATGAATACAGGTGTATAACAAAATTATCATCTGAGATCGGCCATTGGTACATAAACTGCACACAAGGGGAAAGTCGGCAGGTGCCTTGTAAGAAAGACGACCACAATTACAATTATTTATTACACGATGAAATTAGAACTCGCTTCCCTAAGCTGTGGACATTTCAAGAAACATCGGAAATAGTGAGTTTTAATATTTGACAATGATAAACATCATTTGTTTCTATAATTACATGACTGAATACTCTTATTAGTTGGACAATTGCAGGTTTTAGTTAAGAACGTTGGGGAGGTTGATAGAAAAAAATTTGAATTCGATAAGAATGACATCAAAGAAAAGATTTTGGACTCCCTCTTAGGTTTTTCAAAAGTATATCAAATGATGGTGGAGTGCAAAAAACCATTAGTAGGTCATAACTTGTTCATAGATTTGCTCACAATGTACAACCAGTTTTACGATGAGCTTCCTCGTAAGTTAAACCATTTAATAAAAAACAGCAATAATTAATAATTATCATTCTAGGATCTTTTTCTGAGTTCAAATCTGAACTTCACCGTCTTTTCCCACATATATACGATACAAAATTTATGAGTTATGAAATAAAAAAAATGTCCAAAAAAGGTTTGTCAATTTATACTTTTATACTATAATAAAAGTACAATATAATATATATCCTTCTTTTCCTTACAGATGCTTTAGAAAACAATTCACTAGGAAATTTATACAATTATTACAGAGATAAAAATAATGTTTTCCACGGCCCAAGGATAGTATTTGACAGTGGCATCTACGATAATGGTAATACCAAATTTTTAATTGTGTCTAATTTCACATGACCTTTGTTAAATTTACATTTCTATGTCTATTGTGTTGATGTTATTACCAGAAAAAATGTAATTTGTTAGCATATCAGTATTGTGAAAGGGAAGTCTGTCTAATTCAAAAAGTTCAAAAGTAGACATCAATTATCAATTAACCAATGATTGTTGCTGTTATTTATACATTTAGCATCTTTTATCTTTACCTCATCACTGAGGAAGGTCAAATATAGGCTGAAAGCTTGGCACTTGATAAATATCTCATTGCTGAATTACCTTAGCTTTGAATTATCTTAAATTTATATTTTTATAAAATTATTAACTATGAAAATATGGCTTATTTGTGGACATTATCTTGTTAAAACAATTTATTTTTTCTATTTTAACTGTTAATTTCAGTTAGCACCTAAAGTGTAACAAACAATCAAAAAAGTATGGTTGATTTATTATGGAATGATAATTATATTTTGGAGGCTTGAAATGATTATTATGAACTACAATAATTCATGTTATTCTATTTTGGTTACAAAATTGCGTAAACAAAAATATCTTATATAAAACTTCTAAAATATAGTTAATGATCAGCATATGCATGATGCCGGCTGGGATGCCTACGCGACAGGATATTGTTTTATGAAACTCTGCCATACCGTTGTAACAAAAAACAATTTGTAAGTTATAAACTTGATATTAAATCGCTAAATTGTCTTAATGTGTCTTCTTTTGAACAGCAATGACCCTAATAAGATTTGGTCTAGTGTGGAACACTTGAAGAGGGTGGAGTTTTTAGAAAATCGTATAAATCTGCCGAGAGCACGAATTTCCTATTTGGTAAGAAATTATTGGACAAAAGGCTTAGAAAGAATATTATAATTGTTGTTTTCAGAATTTAGTCGGTCCAGAACCAAGGACAACAAGGCCCCCTTTGTTGTTCCTTGAAGCAGTTCGCAGTAGTAAATGTGATATTCTTAAGGCAAGAAATTTTTAATAACTAAAATATCTTTTCCTATTACATATTTATGTTAAAATTTACTTATTTATTTTAGTTAAATCAAATATTGAGGAAACATTCAAATATACATATAAAGACGGTTTCACCTTCTTCTGCAATACTTGCAGCAGCTAACTATACAAGGTCCGTATGACTTTCTAAATTTTTTTATTACTTGTGCAGGTTTCTGCTGATATTACTGTCTTTAAACAGTGAGTCTGCTAGTGATGTACGAAATAAAATAAAAGGAAATTTATTTAACTCACTATTTAAAACATGTCACCAAATATTAATTAGAATATTGAATTGTTTCAGTTATAAAGAAGTTTTAAGAGATATTAACGAGCATAAAGATTTTCGAATAGAGAAATATTCTGTTCTGAAGCACCATAAATTTATCAAACCATTGATACTGTGAGAATTTTCTCAATTGTAAATTATAACTCTGGTAGGAATTTGGTTCAAAGTTAATCTTTTTTCCAGGGCCGGTATCGTCATCCCGACAGTTCTCACGTTCTGGATCACAGTTAAAAATTTTCGATAGTTATATTTCAATTTAAGCAATATGAAATTAATAAAAACATTGTTTGTGCAATCAAATGCAGCAATTTTTAAATTTATAACATATGACAAAATAATATTTTAAATAAATTATTTATTCATAATGTATAATAATAAGTTTTATTAATTGAATCGTTGTATTTTTATTTTTTAACCAAAACTTTATAAATTGTATACAACCAAAAGAAAAAGTCTTAAAGAAACTAATTCAACTATAATGTCACACCATGAAAATGTACAGATAGTTAAAAATAAATAAATAATCAATATAATAAAAATGAAGTGATCAAAGTGGAATCAATAACTGTTTTCTTATTATTTAATTTTGGAAGCTTTTCAGTTATATTCTTCTTTATATATTATATATTTTATATATTATACTTTATATAATATATTACTTTATATATTTTTCTTATATTCTTCTTTCATAATAAGTCTACATTGTCGTGTTACTTGGTTTCTTTTATTTGCCTTTTAAATTATTATACAAAAGAGAAAAATGTGGAAGATGCTTACAAAATAAGTGAAAGGCTTTCAAAATTAAAAGCAAAACAGATGGAACTAAAGGTTTCAGTTTTATTGGTTTATCTTATGATGATGGAAGTCCAAAAAGTACGCCGAATGTCGAGGAAAGAAAAAGTGATTTTAACCCAAAACTTACCAGTTTTGGGTTGCAAATGATGTAGAGCATGGTATCATAAAATGTGGAAGAGGAATAAAATATAGCAATGCATGATAATTCTGTAGAACATGTTAAATCATAGCATGCAGCATTACTCTGAACAAGTTATTGAAAAACAATAATATTGGCAAGTATCTTTTGAAAGGCAGTACAATCTATTATTATAATTGCAAACATTATAATAATAAACTTCAACTCTGCTTGTAATTGATATTCAAGAGTATTCTTAACAAAATGGGCTGCTTACGTTTAATTGTAATCTTTGCCTTTTAACCCTTGTGTGTGTGCATTGTTCTCTGTTAATTCCTTTTATTAACTGATTTAATATTAGAATTTTCGCCGTAGTAAAGTCATTAATATATTATTTTCAAATAAAAAAAATCTTTTGGTTCATGTAAGACCTAGAAGGCCTGTCTTGTACATCAGGGGATGTAGCTCAGTGGTAGAGCGTTCGCTTTGCATGTGAAAGGCCCCGGGTTCGATCCCCGGCATCTCCAGTTAATTTTTTTTAAAACCACTGGATTAGTTGATTACTTTTAAGCTCGCTAATTTTTTTCATTCATAGTTCAAGCATTGACATTTAAACGTGTAATAGTGTAAAATGAATATATTCCTGAAGGAAAGCAGAATAAAATTAAACTGTGCATTTTATGATAGATGTAAAGTCACATCTATCATGAAACAGTAACTCCACATATGTTAAAAAATCATTAATGAAATATTTATTTTGAGCAATAAAAATAGTCTACTTGATGTCAGCACTACAACTTGTATTAAACGAAAAATTCGTAGATGACTTGTTAAACTTTCGCGAAATATATATTTAAAAAAAAATAGTAATGTATAATTGTTTATCAACAGAAAAATACTGAAAACAAAAGAATTTTTTTCATAACTCTAACACAACCGTACATTTTTTAACAAGATAAATTTTCCAATTTAATTCTCAATCCTCGAGTTAGCATCATGATAATTGTTATCGTCACTGATTCAAGTTCAAGAGAGATAAAAGAATGTTGCGATCGAACCGGTCGAAAAATGTATTCTCGAACCAGCATTTTCAAATAACCGTATATTTGGTAGACGTTCAAGTTTGACGTCAATGCAGACGCTATTGCCTTGACCCGAGTGGAAATATTTTCCAAACGAAATATAAAATTATTGCTGTTACAATAAATAAAATACTGCTTACTCACAACTACCTGAGAGTCAAATTAAGTATGCTTGCGTTTACATACGCAAGAATAATTTTGTACAATTGGCAATGAAAAACTAAATTGATTCTATTAAGATTTGATTCATAAATACCTAAGAACCTGAAAATCCAGAATGAGAATGTTCCGAAGAAAATAACCCGTTTTTTAAGATTAGACACGTGTCCGTGCGTTCTTGCCAATAGGCCGAGAACCGGCCTAGGAACCTAGAAAAAAATACACGGATGTACAAAATTAACGCATCATCCTTAAATTTTAATTATTATCTAGAGGTCGTGAGATGCGGTCTGGTGTAATGTAGGTTTAGAAAAACATTTTTTTTTATCGGGCCAACGTTTCGATCTTTATTGAGATCATCTTCAGAGCCTAGGATTTATAAACGTTGTTTAAATTATACAAATAAAAGTAAGATGAATGAAGAAAAAATGAATTTATACAATGATGTACACAATATAGAAATTTTAGGTTTAATCAAAGTATTATTTGTACACACTCAAAGTGTGTGTTTCCTGTGTGGATATGTCACGATTGTGTGTTGTGTTGAGAGTGTTAATAAGATATTAATATTTTTTTTTGAGGTGAAAGGGACCGACAATGGTAATAAAAAGGGTTTGTCGTTCGGGCCTAGTTAGCTTTTCAGGATTATTAGGGAAAGGAGAGATAAATTGTTGGGGATTTAGACTGTGTACAATTGTTTGCGTGGAGAGTAATGATTGTTTTTATGTTGTATTATATTATTCGGAAATCGTGATGCGGTCTGGTGTGATGTAGGTTTCAGAAAAAACAGAAAAACATGCAGAAAAATATATTTTTTATATTCAGTCAAAGTATTTCTACTCACTTTGATTGACTATAAAAAATATATTTTTTTGCGTTGTATAAATTCACTTTTTTCCACATCCTACATGTATTTGTTAAATTTAAACAATGTTTGTAAATCCCAGGCCCTGAAGATGATCTCAATAAAGATCGAAACGTTGGCATGATAAAGAAAATGTGAAATATTATGAAATGAAAATATTATATGTTTTGTGTGTTATATGTATGTTATTGCCCTTCGGGGAATACTACTTTCAGATAGTTACTCCTTGTGATTATAACTATAGTGCGGATGAGGACCATCATAACATAGACTGCTATACAGACGGTTCACTTATCAAAGGTAAAGGAAGCGGTGCTGGAATCCATATACCTAAATTAGGTATCAGCATCTCCTCCCCTCTTGGCAATAGCACAAATAGAGTATTTCCACCTCTGGCATAAATCACGTCCATTACAGACTGCACTTCTTGAAAAAAAAAATCTGGTAACATCCAGAAGAATTCTTTCCCATTCATCAAGAACAAACGTTTCCAACCTTCTAGGGTGTTAGGACCTAGGTTTCGCCGTCGTACCCGTTGCATAAGTTGGTCCCAAATTTGTTCGATTGGATTCAAATCTGGACTTCGAGCAAGCCACATCAAGCACACAATCAGGTCATCCACAATACGCGCTATATGGGGCCTGGCATTACCAAGAATCCAAGAGTCTTTCACCGAAGTGGGGGGCAAATGTCACTACATATTCTTTAATTATCTGTTGTAACTGTGAAGTTAGAGATCTTCCTCGTACAACAACCAATTCGGTGCGGGAGTCCAAGGAAATGCCATCCCAGAACATCAATGACCCACCGCGGAATGCTACCTGAGGAACCATGGGGCCTTTCTCCAGAGCGTCTCCATATGAAATTACGCCCATCTGAAGATTTGAGGCCAACTTTCACCTCATCTGTAAAGAAAATTCGTCGCCAGTTCACAAGTTCCCGTGCGGATTGAGCCTGGTCACTTTTTGAGCTGTGGTAAGAAGAGGTCCACGAAGGAGGATATCGAAACATTTCAGACTTGTTTTAGGAGATTTCTTTTCTCATTACCCGTAATGCTGCAGTTTGGTAGAGCCTGATGGCAAGTTAAATTTTAATAATCAGTTACAGTCATCCTTTTTATAGCTTCTAAGAATTTTTTTAAATGATTATTATTAAAATCTGCAACTTTAGTTCTCCTTTGTGTATCCTACCTTCACGTTTTGTTTATCTCAAAATTTTTTTATTACCCCTTTCTATGACGTTTAATCCTTCTACACATGACTATAATTGTCTAAGTCGATTAAAAAACACAATATACTAAGTCTGGCGAGTCTTTAGAGTTATTATGGTATTATTGAAGGTACTAAATTGTCGCAAATGGAACAGTCGATTTCCAGGTGGAAAGGAACTTCAAAAAGCAATAGGGCGTGAATAATTTTAAATATACCAGAAAATTTAACCGAAGGGCCAATCGAAATACTCGTTGTAATTTCATTTCCAATAAAGGCGATCGTTGAGGACAATGCGAAAGAATTCACCCGAGATATTTATTTTCATCAGAACAGAACCGCCGCCATCGACTTTATCGGAGTTGGAAAACCGAATACAAGAAAATTGCAGGGGTATTGCATTGCAAATGTTATTTAATAGGTTCATGAGAGTTTTCAATTATGTTTAATTACAATTTTTGAACTTGTAAATCGGCCCGAGTTCGACGCGTGTCTCTTTGGAAACATTACCCATTTTGTAATATTAGGACAAATCATGATATTGAAAATAAATTCAAATAACCATAAAAACAACGCGTAAACCAAAAAGAGATGTTGAAACAGATCTACAAGCGAAAATCGGAAAACCAAACTATAATATAATCACGATTTTAATTATTCTTGAGTTTTTTAAATCAATGTCTCTAAATTGAAGTCTAAAAACTAGTTTCTAACAAACCTAATTTCCCCATCAAGATAAAAAAATATGATTTTTTGGGAAAAAGCTAAGAATTTTATTCTAGTGACTCCTTCAAATTACAAATTAAAAAAGTCATTCCTTGATATAAGAAAAAAAGCAAAAATAAACTGTAGCATTAAAACGGGAATTACAGTCATTTCGTTAAAGAAAATGTAAGGTTTATGAACAGAACTTTTACATTCTTTTTTTTAAACAAATATATATACTTTATATAACAATATTGAAATATACAGTTTGCTGTATCCCACTGAATGGACGGTGTCGTTTCTTGGCTCTGTATATAGAGCGAGTAGAAATGCCTGCCGAAAAGAGAATTGTACTTGACTACGAGCCTTTGGGTGCTCTGTTCGATTTTTTAGTAAACAGGGCTATTTTATTTTAAACAATACTTGACAGATATCTTGTTTTTGTATATTTTTTGAGTGCATATTGAGCAAATGTATTTATTAGAGTGAATGTGTAGTGTGAGAGAAACCCTTAAGATTACAAAGTTATATATAGTTCAATTAATTAAGGTTTTAGTTGAGATAAAAAAGTCAGTGTCAGAAGAGGCAATTGAACCCACGACCTTTGGCTAGATACGCCGCTACTCTACCACTTGAGCTATCGTGACTTCGATCCATTCGGACACTAACTTCCCATCTCAACCTCACCTTTTGAATTTTCCCTCCTTGAGATGGGAAGTTAGTGTCCGAGTGGATCGAAGACACTGACTTTTTTATCTCAACTAAAAATCTTAATTAATTGAAAGACATTAATTAGTCAAGCGGACCACGAAAATTAGTGAGATTAATAAGCTATATATAGTGTTAAGAAGATGGAGTATTGTGGAGTGATGGATGGTATGTATTGGGTTGTCCGGAAAATAATGCAGGATTTTGGTATTAAACAAAAAAAAAGAAACTAGTTACTTTAAAGCAATGTTCTTTAATCAAAATATTCAGAATTTTTAGAATTGATAAAGTCAATAAATGCATTTTCCAGTTCCGTTTGATTTTTGAATATTATGTGTTGTAAGTAGTGGTCCAGGTGTCTAAAAAAATGGTAGTCAGTAGGCGAGAGGTCCGGAGAGTAGGGTGGGTGAGGCAAAGTTTCATAGCCAAGCTCCAATAATTTTTGTGACGTTACACGTGACACATGTGGTCGAGCGTTGTCATGCAACAAAATGGGCCCTTTCCGATTGACCAAAGAGGGCTTCATTACTGCCAATTTCTGATGCATGGTATTAATTTGGTTACAGTATGATTCAGCATTGATGGTTTCGCCAGGATTTAAGAAGCTGTAGTGTATTAAACCAAATGAAGCCCACCATACCGTAACCATTACCTTTTTTTGATGAGTTGGGGGCTTTGGAGCTTCTCCTTTGTCGAGCCACTGTCCAGAACGTCTAGTGTTATCGTAGAGAATCCACTTTTCGTCACATGTAACAATTCTGGCCAGAAATGGGTCATTTTTGTTTCGACAAAGAAGTGATGCACAAACATCAAAGCGCTGATTTTTTTGGCGATCGTTTAATGAGTGTGGAACCCAATTTTCGAGTTTTTTCACTTTTCCAATCGCCTTGAGGTGGTCAGCGACGGTCGTTTTACTGACTTTGAGTTGCTCTGCAAGTTCTCGAACAGTTGTTTTGGGGTTTTCTTCCACCACTGATCGCAGAACATCATCATTAAGAGAGGAAGGCCTTCCACGACCTTCTTCATCTTCAAGGCTGAAATCTCCCTCCCGAAATTTTTTAAACCACCTTTGCACAGTGCACTCATTAACACAACCCTCGCCCCAGACTTGGTTAATGTTTCTAGCCGTTTGGGCTCCGCTTCGGCCGAGTTTAAACTCGTAAAAGAAAATCGTACGAAATTCTCGCTTTGACATTATAAGGATGACTGAATTATTTCCAAGTAGCGGAATGCTACAGAGGTAAACAAACAATATCATTTGGAAGAGGATTAATAAGTGTTGACATTCATACAAATGAGTAATCCTGTAAACGTAAACAGAATATTTTATATAGATTTTTTTTAATGAAAACTTAAAATCCTGCATTATTTTCCGGACAACCCAATAAATAGGAAAGAATTTAAGAATGAATGAGAATGAAATGGGACTTATGTACTTATGACACCCCCTAAAGCCTAATTCGCCAGCGGGATGGATAAACCGATGTCTGAGCCCTCCCTTTTAAAAAATGATTCGTAAGCTCAATTATGTACGTATGTGCAATGTAACTGTTCAGCTAATATAAATTTATCAGTCAACAATTTAGCACAAGGTCCAAAAGTGGTGGTGAAAGATGAGGAGCGATGTCACGTAGAAGAAGATTAGGTGCCTTTTAGTTTGTTATAAGATGTAGATGTTGTATAAAATTGTTGTTACAAGATGTAGCGGCTATCGTGTTTTTTT